CACAGAGAGCACACAGGTGCAATGTGTGAACATGAGGGGATAAAAGGTTGGGCTAAAGAACCAGAAGGGAGATGCTTGAAGCCTTCCAAAATTCTATGGTGATGCTTTGTGTATTGTGGCTATCTCAACTGCAACGTGTGCTGTGACAGACAACAGCTTGGCCAGGCACAGTGAGACTGGGATGATGAGTACAGGTAACCCTTCCTCCCCATCCCAAACTCATCTCCATCCCTCAGCTCCTCCCTGCACAGGCCTTGCATGAAGGGTCTTCCATAGCACTAACTACCTTCAGACACAAAAAAGTTCATTTATTCTAGACAGTCAAGTCCATCAGGCTTCACGCTTTGCTTTTAGTGTACTGAGGGTCATGACCAAGGTGGGATATCCCCTCTCTCACAAACTTCCTTTTTTATCTCACAAATACGAGCAAGAAAGAGAAGTTGCCACCAAGAAAACTCCCCTGTTTTGTCTCTACTAAGTCAAATTTAGAAAATATTGAAGTGGTCTGGAGGAAGAGCTTCTTTCAAGCTTTCTCATCCTGTCTGGCTACGTGTCGAATGTCAAAACTTTAAACAAAGAGGTTTAGGTAAAGTCTTCATGTGAAATAAGAGAAGAATTTCAAAATCTTCTGAAGTTCATATTCACTCTAGAGATTTTTGCTAATCAGTGCTGGGGGTTCTTTGGGGGGTTTTTTTGTTATTGTTTCCCACTGGGAGTATATTCTGCTGGAATGAGCCTTCCAATCTCCTTTTTGGTGTTGTTTCCATCATGTTGGGAACAGATTGCTTTTTAAATCAGGCAAATGGTTTTCACTGAAGGTTTTGGGGTTGTTTCCCTTTGCTCCCAAGCATTCATACCACAGCTTTGCTTTCTCTGGCTGCAAACTGCAGAGCCAAGAGCCTCTGTAGCTCATGAGAACAGCTAAATTTATTAGCAAAATGTCTTATGCTGGGCTGGGGCCAAATCCCAGCTCCCTGCCTTCCTGTGGTTAATGGACCGACTGTGCTGACCCAACTTCATGGCCATGTTATTGCTTATTTATTTTAACAGCATAGCTGGGCTGGGGGGGGACTTGGGAGTCTCTGGTCCCACTTTCTGCCCAAGGCAGCCCCCCCTGGGGTTGGATGAGGTTGCTCATGGCTTTTTCCAACCTGGTCTTGAACACCTACAAGGATGGAGATGGGATCACCAGCCAAAGCTGGGCTGCCCCAAAACTTCCTCCCACTGTTTTTCTATTACATTGCATGTGCTGGGTCTATCTAACAGCTGCTCTGCTCCTCCAGGTTTGAGTGTGAATCCATGCTAAACCCCCCCATGCTCCTCCCATGAGATAACCAAAGATCAGGGATAGGGGATGTGTGTCCCTTCTTGGCATGAAGTTGGGGCTGAAATCTTCCTGGGCTTGGATGCACGAGGCCTCTGGCCCCACCCCGCTCCTGGACAGGCACACAGATCACTCCTTCAGTATCTTTTATTAATGTATAGAAAATGCATTAAAAAAAGGAACTATACATAGCCTAAGAGCGGTCAGGACTAAAAATACTAGTTAACAATGGTTAACAAGCGTTGATCCCATTCTCCAAGCTACATTTTCATTACAGGGTGGGGAAGGTTGTTTAATATATTATTATTTATTTATATTATAGATTTTATTTATGCATTTATTTACTTTTCTTTTCCCCCTCATTTGGTTCCAGTGGTTTGAGTTCATCAGAATCTATCTGAGGCATTTCGTTGCCTCTGCTCTCCCTTCTTATTTATGTTTTTAAACTTTTTTTAACATATTAAGAACATTTCCAGGATAACACCTGTACACAGGGGACTGCTTGTTTGTTTGTTTGTTTAGGTCTTTGTGTCACCATCCTTCTGAGAAGCCACTGACATCAGAAGAACTGCAGGCTGGGTATTGAGGCAGGTCTAGGCATCAGGATCTCCCAAGGGAAGGGCCTTTCCCTCCCACTTACCCCAAATTTCCCCTCTGGAAGGGGCAAGGAGCTGCCACCACCATCCCCTGATGGGTGGCATCCTTTTAGGAAAGGGGAAGGTGACCCTGGAGGTGCTGGTGGTCCCCAGTGGGCTCTGTTGTGTTTTATGGCCATCCCAGGGTGCTTGGCTGGCAGAAACAGGGATGGTCTTCTTGTTTGGCCCCAGAACAGAACCCTTTGTTAGTGGGTGTGAGCACGAATTAAAGGGTTTTGGGGGGGTGAGAGTTCGTTGCTGGCAGTGTTTGGTAAAGTCAAAACTTGTGGGCATGTCTGGGGGGCCCAGGATAGGGGGTGTGTGGTCACCCCCAGATGTGATGGTGGGGGCACAGCAGGAGGGCAGCTCTGAGCTGGGATGAAGGTCAGGAGCTGGCATGGAGGTGAGGCACCAGGAGGGTCCTTTGGCTCCTGCTGTACTTTGTCAGGTTGCTCTGAGCCTGCTGTGGGCATGGGGACACCACTGGCTGGGCCCTCACCAGTGCATCACTGGGAGTGAAGGTGGCATGAGCTGTGCCTTCCACACCCAGGCACTTCACCTGGGATAAGCATCGCTCTGGGAAGGAGGCAAGAGTGCATTTAGGCTGATACTCAGCTTTGAGATGCCCATGTGGCCTGGTTTAGGGCAAATTTGGGAGAGTAAAGTAATGCAAAGATAAGGAATAGAAGCAGACTTCTCCCCAACCTTTGTGTGGATGCTTTCCCTGGAAAGCAAAACCCAGCTACCTTGGGGAGAGCCTGGCCTCTCTCCTTCTTGAAATTATTCATTTATAGATGCTATCACTTTACTAAAAGCAGCTTTTCCTTTCAGGACTCTTTTTCTCTTTGGTTATGTTTCAGTGCAGTGTGCAAGAGGAAGGTGGGCTTGGAGAATGGAAACAGAGGGAAATGAATATTGGGCACGAGATGAAAGTCCCTTTGTGTTTCCCTCTAGGATTTTGGGGTTAGAAATAAGAGGTGGCTTTGAAAGGCTGCAGGGTCATGGGCACACACAGTGTTCTGCTGTGTGAAGGGTTTGATGTGCTGCTTCCTGTCACACAAAATGGCATCTCGCAGTGGATAGTGTGGTTTGGGTAACAGCCTCATGCTCCTTTTTGGGCTCTGGAACAAGCCTGAGCCACGCAAACCCAGGATGGCAGTGGAGCCACCAGAGCCCAGTGGAAGTTCACATGCTGAAGCCAAGTGTCTCAAGGTGAGCACTGCACCAGATCCAGCCTTGGTTTCTGGGAATTTCAGGGCCAAACCTGGTCTAGCTGGAGAAGGAATGAGCCCATCCAGTGATGGAGGGTGAGAAGAAGCTACTTAATTATGGGGCCTTCTGAAGCATCAAAATTAAGCACAAATTTGCTGGCAGGAGCTTTGTCAAAAAAACCAACAAAAAAAGTAAGGCAATATAGAAAAATAACTTTCTGGGAAATTGTATCTTGTTTATGGTCAATGTGAACAGGAGACAATGGCACAAATGACTGGGTCATCATTGCTGGTTGTGTGCCTGGGCTTGGGTTGGGTTAGCACCAGGACAAAACCATGATGTGTAGAAGTCTTTCCTTTAAAAGACTGTAGCAACTGTCTTTCACCAATGCCATGGAAAGGCAACATCCTGGTATCACATGAGGGGTCAGGGACCAGCACTGATGTATAATAGCACTGGAAGATTGGATATTGTCCAATTTCATACCTGACTATGCAGTTGGGTCAACTGGGCTGACTCATCCTGGTTACAGGACTTGTACAAAGGATGACAGACATGAGGAGGGAGGGAGGGAGAGATATATGTCAGTAAACCTGTTTAGAGAATAATCTGCCTTTTTGAAGATATTCTTTTGAACCTCCTGGAAATGTTTGGCAAACTTTTTTTTTTTTTTTTTCAAACTTTGTTTGAGTCTTTTGAAAAGAGAAGTTTCTTTCCTTTCTCTTGACTGTGAATGATAAGTGTATGTTTCCATGACATCTCTTCCTTTCTCCTGGGTAGGTAAGAAAACAGCACCATTCAATGCCAGTCTCTGCTGGTTATAGCCACTGCTCCATTGCAGCTTTTGTTGGGATATTTCTTCCTACAAATTCTTGATGGTTTGGAGAAAAATTTACTTTGCTGATCTACTAAAAGCCTTCTTAGGCTTTAATCAGTTCCATCTGCTGGATTTTGTTGGCTTTTGGGTCTTAAAGCAGGGTTGGGTTTTCAGGAGGCATGACATGCCACCATCTGTGACAGTAGCCAAGTCCTGCAAGAGATCCCATCATCTGCAGTCTCTGACTCACCTGTTCCAAAACTGGCTGGCTTGTTGCCTGATTTGATGCCAAGGAGAAGTAAGAAGGGACACCTCATTTACATATGAGATGTTGCTGAGCATCCTTTCTCCAGGCCAGCTTGTAAGCTGAAGGAACGGGCCCTGTATCTGATCTTGACCTCAGTGTTAGCTGTGATTTCACGTGTCAGTATGTGCCATGGAGAAGGAGGTTATCTTTCCCATTTAATGCTCTTCTTCAGCTCTGCAGCCATCATGAATAACGTCAGAACATTAAGGAATGTGACCATAAAAGATACATTGGCCTGAATTATAAGCTACTGCAAAGATGCCTTTATGTTGCCATCTGCAAGATGTTTTTGAGACAAAGCAGCTTCAGTGTGATAAAACCAGATAGCAGTGTTCAGCATTTGTAATGTTCCTTTGGCTGCAAATCCAGTGATGAGCTGCATTGTCCTTGGATGCAGGGATGAGTCCCTTCTTGGAGACCAGGCCAGTGACAATGCCCAGCATTGACTGGAGTCCTTGGAGAGGAGTGACAAGCATGGTGGTTATTTGGGCTCTGTGGAGGTGGGGGACAATGACAACAGGGCACAGACAGAGATATCCAAAGGGTCCATCTTCCTTCAGTTAAGGATGGGAAGAGCAAATTCATTAATTCTTCCAAGGGTCTTGAATTACTCCAAAATCTGAATAGAATCCCTTCCAGGAGGGGAAACAGTTGATTTCCTGTTAGAGAGCTGGCAATTCCAAGGCACTGAGATTTGTGTCCCTCTTGTGCTGGCATTGAAGAGGGATGGTGTAGGAGAAGGAAGGAAATGGGCATTCCTCAGCTTGCACTTCTCTTGCCTTAGCTGCATTGCCATAATTCCCTGTGTGGGTGGAGGGCCATGGACAGGAGCACCTGAGCTGTGACAGCTGCTGGCTTCAGGTTGGGCTGCAGTTCTGTGATATCTTCTTATTGCTGCTCCTCCTCTGAGACTCTTTTGTTTGGGACCAGTGACCTCAGTGAGAGAGAGCATGATGGAATGTAGAAATAACAGAGGGAATGGGTCCTAGATTTCAGGACCACAAGTAGGAATTCTTCTCCCAGGTCTTCTAATTTAAGTCCTTTCTTCTCCATCAAGTTCAGCATAACCCAGGCAGATGTCATGGACCTGGAGTGGGCTGAGTTCAGCTTGGAGGAGTGGATAATGAAGGTTGGGGCTGGTGGAGTAATTCTTATTCCCATACACCTCATGCACACGAGGATGACTTTGTGGTGGGACCAACACATGAGCTGTGGACTCTCTGCAGTTTGCCTACATATGCAGATATTTGCCAAGCCCTCCTGGGGATGGGAGGAGCCTTTGCTCATCCTCACTTGGTCCCCAGGTGTCCAGAGCCTGCACACAGGGGAGAGATGGGCCTCTGCCTGCTGGAAGAGTTGGTGTCTACAGGATGGCACGAAGCTTGGGACCTCCCTGCCAGGAGGGGACAGGGAGGCGGGGAGAGGACGGGCATCCCTGGCCATGGCTGGGCTGGAAATGGCCACACCAAGGTACCTGTGGGGAGGGTTTCTGCCACAAGCCCTGTGACAAACATCTCTAACAGGGTTTGCTAGGGATTTCTATGTATTTTAAAAAAATATCAAAAAATCTGTCTCTTTCTCTTTCTTCTCATGTTAAGGGCCAGAGTATTGGGATAGGGAGACTGGAAATTTGGTATTTCTCTGGGACAGATGCAAAGCAATGAGGTCTTTCCTTTTCCATGGCCTTTCCTCGTGCCATGGTTCCCTCCAGCACTTGTGAGGGGCAGCTTGCTATCTCAGACGAGTAGTAACTTTTTTTTTTCCCTTTTCATATTATAAAATACAAACAAATGACAGAAAAGGTCAGGTGGTGGGAGGCAGGAGGGGTTCAGCTGGCTCAGAGCTGTAGGGACCGTCTCTTCCTCCCAGAGATGTTACGGTGGTTGTAAGGTCGCATCTTCATTTCCACAAAGGGGATGGAGAACTCGTGGCCTTTCCAATGGTACCAGTTAATGCCCTGGCAGGAGGGAGAGAAAGGCAGAGGGTAAGGAAACACCCTAACAAGAAACTAGGGTGGGAGAGGAAAGAAACTAGGTTGATTGGTGTAGAGAAGATAGAAAGGAAAAACTTGCTATAGCATGAGCAAGCAGCTCCCCTGCTTCTATGGCTTGATTGTTTTTTTCCTGGTCAAAGGCTGGTCAAATTTCATCTAGGTAATTTTTTAGTCTAACACATTACAGAAAATTACTATGGCACAAAGCCTAGTTGACTTGAAGGTGGCTCCCTTTCCTCCAGCTGGTGTGGGGTCATGCCACCAGTTCTGACCATGGTGCACCAATCACACCACCCCAGTCCTAACTTAGGCTTGCTGACATGTTCCCCTGGAAGAAATTCCAGAGGCTTTCAAGCCAGCTCTGCCCATACCTGACCCTGGTGCACCAATCACCCTGGCCCTAACCTAGGCTTGCTGGCATGTTCCCCTGGCAGAAATTCCAGATGCTTTGAAGGCCTTACCTGACTGTGCCGGGACTCTCCGTACTTGCCGTTGAGGTTGGTGCGGTGGCAGTTCTTGTACCACCAGGCCCCTTTGTAGGACATGGCACAGTTGGTCACAGCAACATCATTGTCCCTATCCTTGGTGGAGAAGGGGCGTCCCTGGTGATAGGTGAGGGAGTCTCCTGTGGAAAGAGGTGCTGTTTAAGGTGATGGAGTCTGTTATCTGGTCACTTCACAAGGAAATTGGGATATTCTGGTTTTGTGGTAATCATTCCAATCAATGGCCCAAACAGCTGACAGTCTGGGGATAACTGGAATTAACTGGATAACTGAATGTTAACTGGAATTGTTCACAACTGGCTCATCTGAGGTCCTCTGCTGTCTGTTTAGGATCAGTGCAGACTGCAGCAAATCTTAGAGACTTGGCATTGTCAGATAAAGTGCTTGTGTATGTGTTTGGATCTGAATTTCAGTGTTTCAGAAATTATTTAAATCCCATATTTTGGCATCCCTGATTTCCCAAGGCTTGGCTCTGCTATATAACTTCAGGATGCTTTCAGCTTCCTTCTTTCCTGTTAGCCAAAGGGAGCTCTTTCTCTCAACAGAGACCAAATATTCATCTCTTGAACCAAGATTCTTGGCTACCTTTTCTCTCTTTGGATAAGGGGAAGAAGTTTTTTGGAAGGTATGTAACGTCTTCTTCCACCAAACCCTCTAACTTCATCCTCACTGGATAATTAGACAGCTGCTTTTGTGTGAAAGAAAAGCTGGAGTAAAATATGGTGAATTGAGTGATGTACTTACAGGAGACATTCTAAATATGCTCCTTGGTAATCCCTCAGGACATATGAAGTGGATCCATGCTGGCTGTATGCAATCCAGCCATGGAGAGACTATTACTGCCATCCTTGGCAGTAGGTTGGGTGCTTTGTGCCCTGGGATCTGAGGTTAGAGCAAGTGCTTCGTTGCACACCACCAAGATTTCTGTCACCTCTCTTCCAGTAGCAACTAAGTGGTATTGAATAGGGAAATTCCTGCATCTTGGCTATGTTGTGGGGTTCCACCTAGTACATGGTGGAAGTTCCATCCTGGGGGCTTGCACTGGGCATGTCTATCCCAGATGAAGGGGCTAGAGTTATACCCCTTCTCCCTTCTTGAGGAAGAGAACCCCTGTGCCCTCCCTCTAGCACCCACTCTCTTCTGCTGGGCAATTCTAACTCCTCTGAATCAACCAAGTAAGCAGGTGTGACAGTGTCCTTGCAAAACTGGGCAGTGTTTGGCCTTTATGTGAGGAAATGACTCAGAGGATTTCAGATTTTTCCATAGCTGTGGAAAGGCAATAAATACAGCCTCCAGCATGACATCAATAGCCAGCTGTGGCTACTGCCAAGTGAGATGACACCTCTGATGGTTGACCTGGTTATTTGAACAGCAATGTCTCTGATATTAAATATCTAATCCCCAATGGAAAATTCCATGTCCTTAGTGGGATTTATCAGCCTGGTTTAAATGATGGACTGCAGGAAGGCAGAAAGGACTATGGATGTTTTTCTCACTGCTCTAGACAAGCGAGATTTCATGTTGAGATTTCCTTTATAGTCTTGGACCGACCAGTCACAGGATTTCCCAAGACCCCTGCTAGTAAGGAGGCTGCAAGGATTTCCCAAGACCCTTTCTAGCAAGGGGTCTTGCTGTACCTGAAGTGCCATTGTAGTCCCCAATGCGCAGTTTGTAGAGGCTCCTGGAGTCACCAATGGAGAACTTGTCATAGTAGGCATATGCTGCCTCCTGGCCATCCCTCATGTCTATCCGCAGCTCGTAGCGCCCTTGGGACGTGATCTTGTGGATGTTGTCCAAGCCTGTGGAGACAGTGAAACACCCTGTGAGACCTGGTGCCCAGATCTGTTTCATGAACAAAAAAGGAAAGCTCAAGGCAAATAAAACAGTAGTGAGAAATGAGAGCAAGGAGAGGAATCAAAGAGCAGCAGCACTTGTGGTGAGTTTGTGTGTCTCCTGGCACTGCTGAGGTCTGGATCTTTGTCCCCACTTGAGATTCACTTCCCTGTGAGCAGTGGGTTCAATCTTCAGATTGAAAGAAAAGAAATCTTCAGATTTCTTCATGCTGCTTAAGCTTGGAACATTCAGCTGTTGAGCTCTGGTGCTACTTTTGTTGTTAAGCTCCCATACGAGCCAGAGTGTGTTTATGCTGCAGGTCCCTTTGGCTCATGTTCAGGTTTTGGAGGAGCACACTCAATTTCAGAGCTGCACTGTCTCCCACTCACTCCTTTCCCGCTTTCATTAGACTTTCTGGCCACCAGTGCAACCTGTAGTCATCCAATGATGGGTTTTGGTCCATGAAAACTGACAGCATAGATGCCCCCCTTGTCTCCTAAAGAGAGCAAACTAGGGACCTGCTAACCTTCACAGTGTGCCTCTGCATGAGTTCCTAAAGTGAAGGGCAGGGAATGAACAGAAGGAAAACTGTCTGCGGGAGAACGTAGAGGAATGTGGTGAAGGGCAAGGAGCCAACAGCTGACACAGTGCTTATGGAACTTAGGTTTGACACATCAATGAAAGGCAACCAGGGAAGGTCATACCCAGCCAGAACTCATCCTCCAGGTTTCCAAAGCCAACGCGGTAATCTGCCCATTTCCGGAAGAAATCGGTCAGCCCGTTCTGCCGCCGCTGGAACACCTGATGTGGAGGGAGAGCAGGGGGACAATCATAAAGATGGAGATGAGAGACAGCTTTGCCAGGCTCTGGACACACAAGGTAAAGACAATAAGTTTTCTTTCCATTGTGCCTTTCAGGGGAGAAAATTGCAATGCCCATCCAGTTAGTGTTAATTGCAGGCATGCAATTAATTCATGTGCAGGTGGAGAAACAGAGATATTAGATAATGTCCAAAGCAAATCAATGGTAGAATAGGAAGGAATTGGCCTTCGAGGTTTCTGCTTTAACTAGTGCATGGTGCCTCTGGTTTTCTAGCATGTAATTCTGCTTTGAGCTTTCTATTTCTGTGATATCCAAGGGGATGTTCTGAAGCAGAATGAGAGGGAAATTTACTGGCTAGAAATCAGCATTTGAGGAAGCCCATTTTTTTTGGTTTTGACTATACATCTAGCAGGGTTTTGTGTAATGTGTGTAAGTAAGAGTTTGACATGAATAAGATCAAAGCACCATGGCGTTGTTTACTTACACTGTCAGTCCATCTACGTCAAGACAAGCAGTGTTTGTGCAGCTCAAAAGCCAAACAGGCATTTGTTTCTAAAGTTCTCCTGTGCAGACTCAATTGGGGTGACGCCTGACACCCTCCTTCTGCAGGCAGCGTGAATCATTCCCCGTGAAAGCTACCAGCCATTAATTTCATTTCTAGAACAATAAATCAGCTTCACTCACAGATTTTGCTCTCCAGAAGCACTGCAAACATGCCAAATAAATCAAAGGGCATTTCTCCAAGTGTAACTATTATTACCGGAGCGTGGGCCATTCCCTGCTGCGTGCGAAATGAAGCGTGTGATGCTGAGCCTGCTGTCATTCCTGTGCTTTGCTGGTAGGGGCTCAGTTACTTTGTGGTGGGGACAACATGCCACATGGATACTCACAATCCAGCCCCCTCCATCAGTGGTCATGTCACAGTACACGGGCACCCGCTGGCTGAGGTCCCCATTGATGGAGATGGTGTAGACCCCGCTCAGCGTGTCTCCGTTCATCAAGTGCTGGGCACAGTCCTGAGGGTTAGCAAACACACGCCCTCCTGCAAAATCAAAGTAAAACAAAAAAAGGTAAAATTCAAGCAAAGAGACACCTTTTCCCCATGCTTCAGGCTCCACTAGTTACAATCCAGGAAAAGTCTGTCTTGGCTCCTGCACTCCAAGTAATTCCACAAGGCAGTGAGACTTTTTATCTGCCGTCGACCTCAGAGGACTTGCTGGAAAAAAAAATGTCTGCATATATTAATTATTCTTCCATATGTCTTATACTGGAAGGGTGCATGGTAATGTCACAATGAATGATGAGGGATGTCACTTCTTGGACCATCTTTCTGCGCTGTGTCTGAAACCCTGGGGTTTAAGCTGTCACCAGCATATTTAGACAGCTGTGAAAATACCAAAAACCTGTTCTCGTCTCAGGACTGCCAGCTCTAATCAAGTTTTATAACAGTACTCATTCCAGGGGGATTCTCCTGATTCTCCCTGCCCTTGGAAATGATGGTGGACTTATGCTGAGATAATTGTCACTTGCAAGCTGAGCAGGAATGAGTCTATGTGATATGCTAGAGGTAGTTAGCATGGGCTGTGTGACTGTGCTACAGGTGTTCTCTAATGAGGAGACATCTTATTTTGTGGTCAGAGTTTAGGAGAGTCCTAATTATGACAATTATTCTGGCAGTATCGGAATATCAAGTCTGGAAACATTTTTTTCTTATTTAAGAAAAAAAGAGGGAAATAAAATACATCTTTTTGGTGTTGGTATGGATGGTTGGATGATGGAATAAATGAGTACAGAGTTGGCAATGTGGACGTGTTTTCAAGGATGTCTCTGTAACAAACTGAGAAGGTGTGAGGGACCTTCAGATCTTCTGTGCTGTGTGTGTGTCCATCACAGTTGTGCAGTGCCCCATAGGACCAAGGCACAATCCTTGTCTGTTGCTCCCCACTTGCGTCTGTTCCCACCCACCTTGTGACCTGAAGACTTGAAAGTCATTGCTGTGTTCAAATGTTGAAGTTCCTCTCTTTTTTCTCCCCATCTTCATGGTCTGTAGCACAGCCTGGTGAGATACTGTTTGTATTTTATAGTATCCAACAATGAAAACTTCTTCAACAATAACCACTTTGGGCTCCCCTGTGGAGATTGCTTGTTTCTTAATTTATATTCATATCTTTAAGAGCCAAGGAGACCTTGAAAGACATTTCAAACCACTATAAATTATAAATACTGTATCTGTTTCTTCCTTCTGTCTCATCTGTATACAATTCCCTAAGAACCTTATGCAAACATGAAACAAAAGAGGCTGAGCTATTAATATGTCAGGGGGAATAGAAGAACCCCGGGATGTGTATGTAAGCAGAAGGAAGCAAAACAATTTAAATTAAGCCTGAGTGGCTTTCTTTACTTTTTTTTTTTTTCTTGTCATTTTGTCATTAAAGACAAGTCCTTGTTCTCTGCAAAGTGCCTTGATGCATTGCCAGAGTAAACTGAGTTGCAGATCTGGAAGCTTTGATGAGAGATGCTGTCCATGGTTTGCATTGCCTTGGTCATAGCTCCTGGTTGCTTCTGTCTCTCAATACTGGGGTAAGTGGGAGAAACTGACCTGTTGCTAATGCCCATCTTCATCTTCAAAGCAAGTTAAATGTGTTGGATGCTGCATCAGCTGACAATGGGGATGGACGCGTCTGAGGTCTGACACTTCTGTTTGATGGAAAAGGGGCTCTCCTTGCCTGACACAAGTGGGTTTCTGCTGCTTTATCCCACCTGAGAAGTCACTCCCATGCAGCTTCATCCCTGACTCCCAAGCAGCCTCAAAGATTACATGTCTTTTTCTATCACCTGCCTGAATTGTACTGGATTTATGCACATGTGTAAGAGCCAAGAACAACAGGAGAGCATGTTTTGTAGATGTATTAGAGAAGTCATTTCTTCTTTTGTTGATGTAAATCGTTTCTGTTATCTTTTAAAAACAGGCGAAGAGACCTTTGCATGTAACTGAGATGGGGAAGTGTATCCATAGCAGACTCAAAGAAAATTCTCCTAATTTGAGAATTAAACTGGCAGCACAGATGGGAGGAATTTTGGTGGACATCATCTGGAGACTTCTCAGTGCTGTTGATACCCAGGAAAAACATGACTGGATTCCCAGCCCTGAACAAGATATATTCTGTCTGTAAGTATCCTGGCCTAGCCATGATTTTAAAAGAAGATGAGGGACAATTTGTTTTGCATAGCTTCTATTATGAATGATTGCAGAGGATGGGAGCAATGGTGACATTCTCTTGCAAGCTTCATTCTTGGAAGAATAAGTATTCTCTCTCTGAGGGTCGTGGTGACTGTGGATGCCCACATTTTGATTTCAAAATGAAAACACTCCCATTACTTTAGTGCCTTGGTAGATTGTGAATGCTCCAGAATGAGAGTGGAGAGGAATAATGCAATTAGATAAAGTGCTGGCTTTGCTGTCTGTGATTCCATTGGTGGTGGAGGAGATGCACCTACTTGATATTTCCAGGGACACTCCAACCCTGAAAACTTTCAAGGTCAAATTCGACAGGGCTCTGAGCAACGTGATCAAGTTAAAGATGACCTTGCTCACTGCAGAGGGATTGAAGCAGATGACCTTTAAAGATTCTTTCCAACCCAAAGCATTCTGATTCTTTGATATCATGTCCACAGCATGGCAACACTGGCTGGGTCCTCTCCCAGCAGCATTCCTGTTGATATGTGCTGTTCCTTTTAGTGGGTATTTTTTCCTCTGTTTATCCACTTGAGGGCAGATATGGGCAAGACAAAAGGGCATGGCAGATGGTTACTGGTCTGAAGCTCAAACCCCCTTGCCCTGGGCTGGGTCTCATGTTTGAATCATAGCTCCTTCAACCATTAACTTTTTGTAGCAATGCAGCACCGTGGGTCGTGGCATTGTGAGTACCCCTCTTTGGATCATGAAGGAATGCTGCCTGAGGAGGGACCGTCCCTAAGAGCAGTCCATTTCCACCAGCGTGACATGTGGGCCAGCCTGCATGTGTCTGGGTGGATGCAGAGTGAGTGCTCACCTGTGGTGAAGGTGGTGGAGACGAGGCCGCTGCGCACGGCGTTCTGGGCAGCCTGCAGGTGCACCGTGTACTCCGTGGTCTCAGAAAGCCCCTCCAGGCGGATCCACGTGTCCTCTGCATCTACAATCAGCTCCTGTACATGGGTCCCAGAAGGAGGCAGACACCAAGAGCAACAGATGAGAAAAGCGCTGGGGAGCCTAAAGAGCAAGTGAGGAGGGAAGGGAAGCCACAAACTACTGCAGCCCTTGGAGCCTGGCTGAGGAGCATTGCACGGTTGCTTAAACCCCTGGGCTGAGTGAATGTGAGATCAGCCAATATACCCAACATTTCAGAATGGGCTGGGCTGAGTGAATGTGAGCTCAGCCAATATGCCCAACATTTCAGAATGGTTTGGGTGGGGGAAAGCAACCTGGTTTGGAGATGGATTTAAATGTTTGCAGTCAGTGTCCTCTGTCAGTTGGGTCTGCTGGGACCTGTATGCCTTCAGTAAAAGACATGACTGATTGCCCAAGCAGTGCAAGAAATAGAGCTGGCCAAACCTGGTTATCAGCCAGTTTTGACTCTGTTGATTCCTGTCATGTTCATTTTTCTGGTTGTTGGCCAATGCCACACAGCATTATTGGACCCTTTGCAAAGCTATTATCCTCTGGCTGCTGTGAGCCAATCAAACCAGCAAAGGAAATCAGACTTGCCATGACGCATTTCTGATAGTGTTTGTTGCAGGTTCTCCAGACAGGCAGATGTGGACACACTCATTAAATAATCAAATGCATTGTATTGCAGAATTAATTAGCTGCCTGTGCCTATCTTCCTTTTTTGCAGGCAAGGTAAATAGCATTTTTAGAATCTCTGCAGAATAATGCTCTCCTGCCTCAGCTTGCTTGTGTTTCACAAGCTGTGAATTGCCGCTGTTCCTCCAATCTTTCCAGGTAACCCCTCTGTGCCCAGACCAGTAGATGTGCATCAACATTTTACCTTAGGCAGTCTCTTCTTGCTTTTTCCTGTCACCCTGCTTAGCAGGAAGTAGTGTCTGCCCTTCTGGCCTCCCTGAGCCACTGAGCATCATTCTTTTGCTTTGCTTGGCTTCTGCTTATTTTAACATGGTCTTATGACTCCCTGAGTGAATGAGGCTCTTTGGTGTGAGGACTCACTCACCTTCCTGCTGCCATCGGTGGATCTGTAGGTCATGATGTAATTCTCAATCTCTCCCACGGGAGGAGCCCAGGACAGCAGGGCGCTCCGTCGCGTGACTTCACTGGCTGTCAGATTGGTTGGAGGATCCAAAACTGGAAGAGTGGATAGGAACACAGGGAAGTGAAATTTCTCACACACAACCACCTCAGCCCTGCTTCCCAACTCAGCACACTGGGATTCAACCTTGCAGCACTGAGCTACAGCCCAAAGTCATCCTCACCCTCAGTTTCAAGACCTCATCACCCATCCCCAGGCTTGAACAGAGCTCTGCAAACCCTCTCGACGTCCTCCTCTACCTGTGTGCCACCTTAAGGGTAAGAGCTGTGAAATTCATGTGCTATGGGACCTGTCAAGCAAAATGGGTTGTTGTGTTCTTCTGGACTATGGCCTTGGGCAAAAAAAAGACCTGGTCAGGGGTCTGCTCAGGAAACCCCAGCCAGGGAAAATCACCAAAAGAAAGGGATGGATGGATGGATGGATGGATGGATGGATGCTGAAAGAGTAAAAATAATGGTTGATGCTTGTTGATTAAAATTGTGTTCTTGTGTTGTGCCCTGCACTGGTCATTGGGATTGGTGTTTGTGTCCTTTTGGCACACGGCTACCCCTACACTCTTGCTATATATCAAGAGCTTTGTCTCAGCCTTGCTGGCTGCTTTACCTGGGGTGAGTGCCTGGCTAGGGATGAGGAGTGAGGGAAGGGATTGCACGTACGAGTGGTGAAGTTGGTGCTGATGGTCTGGCTGGTGAGAGGCCCACTGGTGGCATACATAGACACTGTGTAGGTGGTACTGGGCAGCAGGTTGGTCAGCTGGTACTCCTGGTTGTCTCCATCCACGAGAATTGTTTCTCCTGCAACTGTAAGAAAAAAGGGATGAGTTAGGGTATGTGACCGTGTTCACAGGGGTCCAAGGAAGAGGGAAGAGATGAGGATCTGACTCCATGTTTCAGAAGGCTTGATTTATTATTTTATTATATATATTATATTAAAACTATACTAAAAGAATAGAAGAAAGGATTTCATCAGAAGGCTAGCTAAGAATAGAAAAAGAAAGAATGATAACAAAGGCTTGTGTCTCAGACAGAGAGTCCAAGCCAGCTGACTGTGATTGGCCATTAATTAGAAACAAGCACATGAGACCAATCACAGATGCACCTGTTGCATTCCACAGCAGCAGATAACCATTGTTTACATTTTGTTCCTGAGGCATCTCAGCTTCTCAGGAGGAAAAATCCTAAGGAAAGGATTTTTCATAAAACATGTCTGTGACAAGGGTAGACATTCAAGGTGGTTCTCCAAAATGTGTCTCTGGATATGACCTCATGACAAAAAGCACTGCTATTGCTGAAACAGTGGTGCTGTTCAGTCTGAAGGGTGGTCTGATTTTTCCCACAATCCCTATAAAACCCAAGGCAAGGGCTCCTTCCCTTCTCCCTCCGTGAAGGGCTCCCACTGAGCCCAGGGCTTTGGGGTGTGCAGAGGCAGAGGTGAGCTGAAGCAGAGCCCTGGGGTACCTGCACGGCGTGTGAGGATGAGCACGTAGCTTTCCACCTCTGACAGCGGTGGGTTCCACTGCAGCAGCGCCTCCGTGGGAGTGATGTTGGTGGCTGTGACCCCCAGGGGGACATCCATGGCTGCATGGGGGAGAGATCCAGAGAATCAGAGGCATTGGGAGACTGGACTATGAGCTGAAAGGGCTTCCTGTGGTATATTGCTTTATGCCCTGCCCTGCTGCCTAGACACATGTGCCTGCACAGGAGTTAGTGCTGCACAAGCTGGAGTGCAGAGATGTTGTAGTTTGTGTTACTCTTCTACCTGGGCTGCTCTTCCACTCTTTTCTAGATGCCCAGTCTGGCTTGTTAGGGATTTTCTTTAGGCTTTGAGGAGTCTGGAGATAGCAGAAGGTTTTATTCTTGCAGCAGATGCTGCTTGTGACAGGACTTCCCTAGGGATTATTTCTGGAAATCTGTACTCTGTTTAGGAAAGGTTGTCATGATTGCCCAGCAGCATGTTTCTGGCTTCCCTGTGCCTGGTACACAGGTTTATCCTTTTACCCATGACTACCCATGCATACTTGGGATAAACTTTGCTGAGACGTACTTCAAAAGCCCACAGTGAGCCCTTGTGAGCCCTGCTTATCATCTCCAGCTTGCATCCAGCTGGTATGAGGTCCAGCTTGCTCTCAGTCACCTGAGTATTACTGCAAGCAGGGCCTGCCAGCCCTGGGCAGGGCTGGAGCTGACACTGTTTGGCTGTTCCCTGCCCACCAAGAGCTCCTTCTCACCTGTGTATGCAGTGATGGAGGCCAGCTCGCTCTCCTCCCGGCCCCGCACGCTCTTCAGCTCAATCTCATACTTGGTGGCAGGCTGCAGGTCCTGCAGGGTGTACTCAGTGGCATCCCTGGAGATGGCCATGCTGTCTGTCCTTCCTGCGGAGATGGAGCCAAGAGCTTTGACATCACGGCTGGCCCCATCCCTGGGGCTCAGGAGGGGCTTGGGAGGGGAGGGCAGTTCCACAGGACACTGGAGATAACTGGATTTTGTGCCTGCAGGTGCACTCCTGTGTGCCCAGCACTCTGCTGGCCTGGCCTTTCCAGCATCATCCACAAAACTAGGGCCAAGGGACATGAGGTAGGTGAGGCAGATGAGGGAGCTGGGATTTCAGGACTGAGCCCTGAATTTAAGCATCTCTGGGGAGGGCACACTGCTGGGGACCATTCTGTGTGCCCCTCTGTGCCCAGCTGGCTGCGGTGGTCCCTTCCCATTCTTATCCCTGACACGCCATCGTCTGCTCTGGAGCCAATCCCAGTTACTGGTGGCTTTGCCCAAGGCACTGAGGTGCTGCCTGGGTGAGGATAACCTAGTGGCCTGCTTGGGCAAGCAGATGGAGGGAGGGCTGGAGCTGTGAGCTCAGGGCATGAACAGGAGTGGTGTGGCCCCTTACCTTCAGCAGCACGGTAGGATATCCTGTAGTGGTCAAAGGCAGTGATGGGAGCACTCCAGTAGACCATCATGGACTCCTGGGTGACATTGCCCACCCTGAGGTCCTTTGGCGCATCAATCCCTGGTGAGATGGAGCACAGAGAAGAGCTGTGGGAGGCAGGCCCACTCCCCATGGCCCTGCCTGCCCTCCCCTGTGCCTGCTGGGGGCTGTCCCGTGGTACCTGTAGTGATGGAGCCCACGACAGGCTCAGAGCTGATGGTGCCATGCACGGCCACCAGGGACACCAGGTACTCTGTGGCTGGCTGCAAGCCCGTCAGGCTGGTGTGCCTGCGGGTGCCATCCAGTGTGACCTGCTGGGCCTCCTCCTCCTCCTCGTCCCGGCGGCTGTAGGTGAGGATGAGGCGGTCTGCTGGTGGGGAGGGGTCACTCCATGTGACATTCACGCTGGAGGATGTCAGCTGGGAGAAGTGCAGCTGGGAGATGGGCCGAACACCTGGAAGGTGGAGAGGAGAGATGCAACCCCAAATCCTTACCTGCAGATCCTTACCTCCCTGTTATTCCCAGTGCTTGTATGGGAAATACTTAAAAGAGGTGGCAAAGCTGAAGATTTGGATTCTCCATTGATCTGAAACTGTGCTGGGATCAACCAGCAGATCCAGGAGAGGAAAAATGGTGCTTTTCTCAGCTCCACCTGCAAACATCCTCCATCCCAGACCCATACAGTGTGTGATGGAACTGTCCCACTGCAGATGGTATATGTTGTCTGCACTTCCTGACTGCAGACTTTTCAGCCAGAAGTCCTTGTGAGGTCCCTCAAGGCTTCATTTCTTCTTATGGGCACACAGGCCACCCTGACCACAGAGGACAACAGAAGGCAGTTGGGCAGTCTCTGTCTCCAGTTCTGTCTTGTCAGTAAAGCAAGTGTGTTCAGTGCTGCTGCCCAAAGGGATTGTGCCACCACATTGGTAGGGCCATCCTCCTTTTGGGGTCAACTGCTCCTGTGTGGACACACTGGCCCCAGCTCTCATCCCCATCACCACCTCAAGGGTTTTAATGCCAGGGACACAGTGGGCTGGCAGAGGTGCCAACAAGGTCTGTGCCCTTGCCCCCATGGCAGCTTGTGTTTCCCTACCTGTGAAGGCATCCACGGTGGCCTCCAGGCTCTGCTGCCGCCCCCTCTCAGCGATGATGGAGATGGTGTACTCTGTGCCGGGCTCCAGCTCTGAGAGTGTGAGCTGTGACTCGTCCCTGGACACTGTCACTTCCGAGGCCATTCCCGAGGCGGGGGTGAAGGTGACACGGTAGTGGTCGATGGGACCCGTGGCTTTGGTCCAAGCCAGCGAGATGGACGTCTCAGTGGAGGCTGTCACCAGCAGGTCCCGCGGGCTGTCAAGCTCTGTGGGAGAGGGTTGGTGCAGAGCTTTGTCCCCATGCACACACTGTCCCATGGGGGCATCTGAGCCACAGCAGCCAGCTGTGCTTGGAGCAGGCAGTGGGGCCAAACTCACCGGTCCTGGCATTCATGGTCGCTGGCACGCTCTGCTGGCTGTCCATCACGGCTGAAATCCCAATGCCATACTCTGTTCCCGGCACCAGATCTAGCAGGGAGGGCAAAGAACACAACAGGGTTTGAGAGCAGCACCTGGCAGGGTGACCTCAGGGTGTGTGTGACCCCTTCTCCCACCTCCCACTGCTAGGGGCACAGGAGGGCCCTCCAGGGGATTCCTCGGGTCAGCAGTTCCTCTGCACATTGCAGAAGAGCTGAGTCTTTTCAAAAAGCCCTGTGGATGCCATTGGACAGAGAATTTGGATTATTTTAGCTCAGAAACAAGCCATTTTTAAAAGTTGTTGCTGAGGTCTGCTGCAATTGCTGGCAGTGAGACAGAAGCTCTTGTGTGTGTGAGCTGAGATGGGAAGGATAAAGTAGCTGTGTTTTTTTCCAAAGTGATGCAGCATCAAATATTGTCACAGGGCTGGTGTCTTGGAAAGAAATAAACTATGCAGAGTAAATGAAATGCACATTAATTGGGCAAGGTGCAGTCTTTCTGGGAGCTGAATCAAGCCCTGTTCTTTAGAGTGGACTTGAGGTGCCTCTCTCAAGGAACTTGGGAATTGAGCTCATCCAGCTCCTTTCCTCTTGCACTGTTTTATCTCCATGGAATATCTCTTGCCTCTGCCTGTCACTTCTGCTTGGCTGCTGGTGGCTTTATTCCCCTCTTCCCTGTGCCTCATGATCTTTCCCACAAAGCTAGAAAAAGCCATAAACTTTCCAGCTCAGCCTCACTGTGCCTTGCCCAGGGGCAGCATCCCCTGGAGCCACCAAAACCTTTCCCAAGTGGTCGGGAGAGAAGGACACTCTCCTCCCCTGCCTTTCTCTTGCTACAGTGTAGTCTTAGTGATGGGGTGAAGATAGACCCCCTGGCCCTGCTCAATAAGTGTCAGAAGTATTCTGGAAAGAAGACCCTGGCAGAAGGTAGGAGAAGGAAAAAATGAGCATGAGGATATAAACCTTTTCTCTCCCAGCTCTTTTGAAATGAGCAAAATTATGGTTGTTTCTGTGCAAATGCTGATTTTTAATAGAGATTATGGGTCAGGGCCAGGCTTACTGCACTTTTAAGTGTAAATCTTTGATAAACTCTGCTCAGTGCCATTCCACACTGCTTTTCCTGCAGGTAGATGAGATTGGCTGGAAGAATTGCTGGTTACTTTCATACCATGGATCCCATCAGGTCCTGGCTGACTGGAAAAAAACCCCAATAGGTTTTGCACAAAGTCCAACAAGAACTGATCTTGACTTAAGAATCTGCATCTCTGCAGCTTTCTTTAGTTGGGTTTCTTGCAGCCTTACCTGAGTCTGGAAGAGCCTTGGCAGCTTTTTTAGTTTTATTGAGAAAAAAAAGAGACTTTAGGCTCTTGCCATATATTCCAAGGCAAGCTCAAGTTAAGTAATGGATATCGTCGCAGTTTGTGTCACTGTTGTGCCTCTGCCCAGGGAGGGGATTTTGGCCCATTTTTAATGCTTCTTCTCACCTAGAAAGCCAATAAATGTCCTAAAGGAAAGCTAGCAGGAGTTCAGCACTGAGTCTCTGATCTCATCCTACTTCTCCCCACACATCCTCATCAAGAACACAGAAGAAACCAGCCCTGATGTTCTTCTTTCTGCATTCCACATTTTTCAAGATAACTGCTCTAATTGCCTTGCTGCCCTCCAGCCTTTCTTGTGACTCTGCTGCTGTCCCTGTAACTTAACTTTTGGCTTTCCCACTGACCTTTCTCCTATAACTTCATATGGCAGATTCCTGAGCCCTTGAAGGTCCTGGGAAAGCAGAGAGTCAACATGGAAGAACCTGGTGTCCTTCCATACTGAAGAACTTCAAGACAAACAAGAGAACATTTTTGCATATAATTTTTTTCTTTACACAAAATATGCCACAGGAGCAGCAAATCCATGAGGTAAGCAGTTCTAATCAAAAAGCAAGGAAATCACATCTCACATGGTGCTTTGCTGTGTTGCTGCATAAGGTGTTTGGGGCTTTCCTGGCAGTGGGAGGTGGGTGGTGTTTGCAGTCCCTATGCTGACCTGAATAATGTGCCACTTGCTCAAAACCAGCATCTCTAGATTTGGGTCTGCTTTGAGCCCAATTTGGAAGAAGGCACAAAACTCAGGCACCCTGGCTCCCCATCACTGCCCATGGGGCATCATTACCCATGGCTCTTTCCAAACAAGCAAAAAAGGGAAGGGTGAAATAATATTTTCCTGTAGATCAGCCTGAACAGGCTTCTTCTCATTTCTCCCTTTGCTCCTTGCCAGCTCTATTTGCCACCTGGACAGATGACACTGTTGAGTCAGGGACAGAAACACGACTCCAGTGTTCAGGGGGATCAGAAGGCAAAAGGGTTTAATGAAAGTAGCTGGGTCTTTTTACAATGTGACTCATTAAGGTGATACTTGATTGGTCTCAAAGTAGAAACATCTCACACCATTGGTGACTATGAATAGCATACTCTGGAGAACTATATTTATAAACACTGGCTACAGAAAGAGAGATAATAATTGTTTGAATTCTTTCATCTAAGTTTGCCACAGCTTTTACACAGCTTCCCAGGATTTTCCTGGGAGAACCATGTCTCTCTCTGTTCAGAGGATATATAATTACTACAGACAGATCCTTGCTGGATGTGCACCCAGACCCACACACACAGGGGAAAATGAGCTCTATCCCAAGGGAAACCTTCTCTCCAGTAAATAGTAAACTCCAAAACAACCTCAAAGATGTGCCAGCACAAGGGCAACTGTGTCTTAGTGCTGATTTGGGATCTCCTTTGCCCTACCTAGCTGAGAGGAGGGGGAGGAAGGGCACCGTGACCGTGTTCACAGGGGTCTGAGGAAGAGGGAAGAGATGAGGATCTGACTCCATGTTTCAGAAGGCTTGATTTATTATTTTATTATATATATTATATTAAAACTATACTAAAAGAATAGAAGAAAGGATTTCATCAGAAGGCTAGCTATGAATAGAAAAAGAAGGAATGAATAACAAAGGTTTGTGTCTCAGAGTCCAAGCCAGCTGACTGTGATTGGCCATTAATTAGAAACAAGCACATGAGACCAATCACAGATGCACCTGTTGCATTCCACAGCAGCAGATAACCATTGTTTACATTTTGTTCCTGAGGCCTCCCAGCTTCTCAGGAGGAAAGATCCTAAAGAAAGGATTTCTCAGACAATATCACGGCTCCAGGGCGCGAGGGCGCGTGCGTACCTGCGAGGGTGGCGCGGGTGGTGGGGCCGGCGTGGCGCGGCACCAGGAGCTCGTGGTAGTGCTCCCCGGCCAGGGTGCTGTACACCACCCTGTAGCTGTGTGCCTCGGCCTCGCTGTTGTCCCAGGTGAGCTCGAGGCTGGCGGGGCTCCGCGAGCCCACCCGCAGGTTCTTGGGGGCGTCGATCTCTGTGCGACACAAGGGACAGAGGCACGGTGTCACTCACAGCCCTGCCACAGCCAGGGGGGAGAGCCAGGAGATCCTCCTGCCCTGAGCATGGCCTGGCAGGAAGGGCTGGAACATTTGCTCTCACCCCCTGCTCAGCACAGGCTGGGAGATGCCACCCAGGAGGGTGATACAAATGCTGGCAGCATCTTCGGTAAGTTTGTTTGGCAGCTAGTTCTGTGTTATTTCAAAAAGAAAACCATTCTCCCTCATATTAAGGTAAAAGAAACTGAGGCACTATGAGTAAAAGGGCTCTGTAGTAGCCATGCATTGGCCTGAACTGCTCTCAGAAGAAAACCTTGAGCATCTTTACAGGCTCATTCACTCCCAGACACTGCCCAAAGGGTTTGTTTATTGGTGCTGCTCAGGCTGTGTACTGAATCTGCTCTGGTTTGCACAATAAACCCCTCTGGTGAGAAGCAGCTGGGGCTGGGCACCAGTGGACAGTGGGTAATGGTGATGGATCTGAGTCTGGGAGGGTGCTTTTATGTTGCCTTTTAGAAATAAAGCGAGGAAGGCCAAGGCAGCAAATCAGTTGGGGTAAGCATCTCATCTGAAATATTTATCTGTAGAGATATGTACACACACAATTCACATCCCACAGTTATTACAGTAGGAGCCTCTTAGCCAGCAGTAATGTACATGACAATTTATATACCATAAACCAGCATGGAAATACATGCTCTGACTCCTCCTTTATGGCACGGTAAATTAAATCCCTTAGCTATCTGCAGGCTTAACATCAATTAAAGTTTTACTGACCAGTTAGGGTGCTCAGAGAAGATATAAAATAAGATAACCACGTTTCTGGATGTGCTGGTTTCAGCTGCTTGACTGCTGATTCCTTGGTCAAGGCACCTGCCTTGGCTCTTGATGCTGAGTGGGAGCGAGCGTCCCCTTGAACTCAGACCTGTGCTGAGCATTTTGGTGCTTTTGAGAATTGTGCATTGAGCTGTGGGTGCTCTTAAGGACATAAACTGCTGAGTTCTAGAGTTCTAAGCTGTGGGTCTGAACAGGCACTGGAGCTGGTGGGGATGTGTGTCTCAGGCAGCTTCAGCCTTGATGCTGCAGCAAGACATGGCCAAGATGGAGTTGGTTTGGGGTTTATCATCTAAATATGGGGGTTGAGTCCATCCATGCCTTGCCACTGGCATCTGGGATCACCTGGACTGCCCTGGGGACTGTATGAGCATCCCTGGGGGCACAGGGCATTCATCACAACTCTCTCACTGACACCCATTACAGCTATAATGCAACTTGTGCCCTTCTCTTGAGCTGGTTGTTGACAATAATTCCTCTTTGACTTTTTATGGTGGTATTTCCCAGGATTTGGGAGAGTTGGATGGGGAAAGGTGGAAGCTTTGGGGACACCAAATAGGACCTTTTGCACTGGAGGTTTAGTGGCTAAACAGCCACTAGCAGTGGTGGGACAGAGGGCAGTTGTAGGATGTGTATTTTAGGGTGAGCTGAATCTTTTGCTTTGTGATGGGATGCAAGGCACCTGCATTCAGGTGTCACCACTTACACCTGCATCTTCACCACTGTGTTTTCGTCCCACTTCTTCCTCCTAGCACATTAAACCCCAGCTCCCTTGTGCCAGCGGAAAAAGAGGCATCATCAACCCCCAGCCACAAAAACCCCTCAGCTTTTCCTCCTTGCTGCAGGACAGCCCATCTGCAGACGGCAGCAATCCACCTACCCATGCTTGCCAAAGAGACTCAAAAATTCAGTTCACACCCAAAAATTCCATTCTCCCAGCCAGGGCAGCTCTCTGTACCTGTGGTGAACTGAGCGAAGGCGGGGCGGCTCTCGTTGGCGCCGCGCAGGGCGCTGACGGCCAGGTGGTAGCGGGCGCCGGGGCGCAGGGCCTGCAGGGAGTACTGGCTGAGGGGGGGCTGCAGGCGGAAGGTGGTCCTGCCGCCCTCCCCGTCCGCCAGCCCGTACTTCAGCAGGATGGCGTCCACCTTGGCGCGAGGGGGGCTCCACTCCACGAAGGCCACCGTGTCCGAGACGTCCCGCACCAGGATCTGCGTCGGGCCGTCGATGACTGCGGGGGGGAAACGGGCAGCTGTTATTGTGGGAAAGTTGGGTGGGGAAAGGGGGGAGATTTGGGTATGCCAAGGTTCAGGGATGCTTCAGGCTGGCCTTCAAAACAGCTGGAATTGGGATTTGGGCACAAGGGAGAGAGGTGGCATGGGAAAGAGGCATGACCCTGACCCCAAGATACTTTGGTCCTCATGGTTCCCAATCCCTTGTCCCAACCTCTTGGCTCTTTCCTGAACCTTCTCCACTTTCTGTGGACACCAGAGCAGGACCCAGCAGCTCTCTCATTGACACCGATTACAGCTATAATGCAACTCATGCCCTTCTCTTGAGCTGGTTGTTGACAATAATTCCTCTTTGGCTTTTTCAGGTGGTATTTCCCAGGATACAAAACCCTTATGTCTAACTGCAACACACGTTCTTTGCTCTAAGATAGCTGCTTGTACTTTTGCATTGAAAAAAACATGCAATTTTCCTTTGTGCCCAGCTCTTCAAACTATCCAAACAACTTTTATTGATGTTCTTCTATGCAATTTACTCTTTTCTGATCCTTTCCATCATTGGCAAAATTTATCAGCAACAGTATTATGTCTTTTGAAAGGTGTTGACAATGTGTTAAATAACGTGGAGCCAAGGACAAGATCCAAGTGTTGAGAACTGAGGAATGTCTCTAGAAATGTTCCTGCTTTGGTGCCAGCTCCTGGTTTGTCCTTAAACTGAGGAATCAGCTCATAAAGCTGTTGGTGTCTTGGCAGTGGGAAGAGAGGAGAAAATGCAACTGCTCTGGTGAATCTTCATAACTAGCTGGGTGTGGGGCTATGGTTGGTGTCCAGAAAAACTTTCAGATAAATGGCTTTTAGAAAAATGAATACCGGGACTCTACTGGGGGAGATTTTTGGACATTTCTGCCTTTTTTTTTTTTTTTTCCCACAGAGATTTGAGCCCTTCCTTCCCTCCACACCCCCCAACACTCAACCTTTGGATATCATGGGCTCAAGCCTGGCTGATGGATGCTTGGAGTCCAGCAGGACTGGATGGATGGATGGATGGATGGATGGATGGATGGATGGATGGATGGAGCCAAGCCTTGCCATCGCTCCTGTGCCATGGCAGTGCTCATACATGAAGCCTGCTGGGCAGCCTGTGTTATCACTTAGATGGTCACAAGGTGGGTGAAAAAGCCCACTTTGGTTCTGTAATTCAGACTATACCTAATATAATGACAGTATACAATAAGGGTCTGCTGAATGCTGCACCTGAAGTTATGGGGGACAAGCATGTGGGCAGGGATGGGAAGCACCGGGGAGGGGTTAGAAAAGGACATAGAGGAACTTGAAGTAGTGAGGTGAGATCTGTGGGCAAAACAGCAGAGGAGGGAGCACAGTTGGGAGTCCCAGTGTTCAGGTGGGAGCTGTCTGTCCAGCTTGGCCAGGACCAGGTCATGCATACCCTCAATCTCCAACTGCTTCATGCTGTCCAGCCACCCAGGTGATCCACATCTACTTAGCCGTGTGGCATAAAACCATGGCTTTGCTGCCTGATCCTGGCACAGGATGCTGAGGAAGAGCAAGGGTGGTGGGGATGAAGCTCTGAGAGTGCTGCAGAGAAAGGCAGACACCAGCACAGAGATGTTCCATGGAGCATAGATCCTGGAGCCCTCTGCTCCACCTGCGCTCCCTGCAAAGGCCAACCCTTGAGTTTGAAGTACCAGCTTCTATTTTCGCTGACTTCCCAGGGAAAAGAAGTTTCGGCCTTGACCAGGAGATGTCTCTATTAAGCCACATCGAGCTGAACACAGAGGCAAAGCAGGAGGGGAGGACTGTACTGGGGAAGATCAGCCCTGCAACAACCTGCTGCGGTGGAGGGACCCTCCCTCCACTCTCTCCGCTGCCTCAATTAGCAGCACCTCATTACAGCCCTCCGGCAGCTATTTAAGTGCTGTTTCCTCTCGGAACAACTCAGGTGGAGCTTGTAGACGTCTGTCTGGCTTTCAAGGCAGACTGCACCAGATCTGGTGTGAAGAGCCTCCTCTCCCCCGTGAGCTCTGCCGATCTCTGCATCTCCTTCAGCAAGAAGACCCAGCTGAATTTTCTCTGGTCTACAGGAAGGAGCAGTGAGTGGGCAAACAAATTGGTTAGGAAGGGACATGCTGTTGCTCCTGGCTCCCTGCCCTGCTGCCTCATTTGCCTGAATAGGTGGGAGCTGAGGGCATTTAGTGGCACAAAAGCGGGTGGGAGTTTTAATCTGTTATATATGAGTAAGTAATACATTTGTAGATATATTTCTTGAGGGCATCCAGCCTCCAAAATGTGATATTAGTAGAGAAGAATAATTTATCCAGCTATACAATAAAAGCAGAACTGAGTCTTTGCTCCCAACCCCATTAACCAGTTTCTGCAGTTGTGACAATTTAGGAGAGAGAGGGACAAAACACTGCACGAGGAAGCTGTGGCTGCAACGTTTGCTGCAAGTTTCATCCCTGCCCATGGGACTTTATTTTTGGGACCTGCTGTGCTGCCCCCGGGTGCGGCTCACTCACGGGTTGAGACGCTGTCAGAGGTGGGAGGGCTTCTGGCTTGTTCCTTCAGGGCCACCACGGTGACAGTGTACTCCTCCCCTGGCTTCAGCCCCGTCTGGTTGAAGGTGGTGACGGTGCTGGGGAGCTGGGCAATCACACCACCCTCGTTGTTCTGTCAGGGAATGAAACAAGCATTAACCCTCCCCCAGCAGCTGGTGTTTTGGGGGGACTGATGCACAAAGAGGAGGTGCCCCCCATGTTGCATCCTTCCACAGCCCACCCTGCATCCCCAAATCACATGGTCACCTTGGCACACTCCAGCATGGAGGAAGAAAGCTGGGATGAGGTCACCCACCAAGCGTGGAGTGCTTGTGTTGTTGGGCTGCAAAATCCTCCCCATCCCTCCTCCCTCCCCAGCCTCTGTGTATTTGTGCCTGTGCTGCTCAGAAAGAGGAAAGATGATTAAACCAAAGCCTTAGCTAGGCTTGTTTTCCCTGCTCTTCAGGTGCCAGGAGCCTTTTGTTGTTGATGTATAGGTATGAAGCTGTGAGGTCTTTATTTTGCTGTCACCTGCTTTTTAGCCATCTTTAGTACACTCATTCATGCCTTGTGGTTTTGCCCTGAAAAACTGTGAGGCTTTAAACAACTGCACATGTCACCTTTCCTGCCAGTGCTTGGACAAAGGATCTTTTCTTGCTGCTGTCTTCACTAATAACATGCTAAACAAATCTTTGCACATAACTCTCAATTCATATTCATCCCTTTTCTCATTAAACAGGAAGCCTTCCATTTTAGCCATCAGTTACCATTTTACCTTTCCTAATTTTCTTTGCTAAATCCATCTTCTCTTTGTCTTTTCCAGCAGATGGGCAATCCTGCCTGACCCAGCTTTTGTGGGGATGAGAGCATCACAGAGACCATGGAAGGAGAGTGCAAAGCTTTGCAGGAAGCTGCAATCATCCTCGTTGGGCTGCTGAGGACCAAATTAGCATTTCCTCACCCAGTTTTTGGGAAGACAGGTTAGTTTTTTCTCACAGAGGTTGTGATGCTTCAGTTATAACTCTTGTTTTTAGCCCTTGGAAATGGGTTTTGGGTTTGTTTGAGGTGTGGCAATATTTCAGCATGTACCCAAGCTTGCAGGGGAGTAAAGGACACAGCACCCTCTGCCTAATTTTAGGGGAAAAGGCAATAATAGAGACTCCAGAAAGGCCAGTTTTAGCAGCTGATGGGCAGGAACGTGACTGTGACTTTGTCTTAACTCATGGATTTGAGAACTTTAAAGCCCAGTGAGCTACATCCCTTCCCTACCCAAGACCCTGCATCTAGGAACAGCCCTCCTTTTGCATTTTATCTGCCTTAAAATCCCAAAATGTTTCCATGTATTCTTAAGTTTAAGCTTAAGAACAGAAAAAAGAACCAATGGTTTGCATTTATTTGCTTCAGGGGAATGCTGTTCAGCTTAATTCCTGAGTAATATTGAAATGTTTAAAAGAGCTATTTTTTTCCTGCCAAAAGCTTTACTCTGATATTTTTCAGCTTTAATACTGAATGATCACCTGATGGTGACTGCAAATTATCCCAGGGTCTATACCTGCATTACATGAGCTTCAACTTCTGACACAATTTGCATGTGGATGTAGCCAACATCACATCAATAATCTCCAGCAACTCTTTGGAAATGAGAGGATTGAGTTATTTAAGGCAATTGTGCCCTTGCTTTGTGCTGTGCAATAACACTTCATAGTTAAGAGTATTTAAAACTTTGGGGCCAAATTCTGCAGTTCTCCACTGCCCAGAGCTGCCTTTGATTCCAGTGCAGGTTTTTGTACAAGTGAAAACATCATAATTGAGCTCTTAATCAGCATTTCTTTTACTGCTGGGGCTTGAATGCTCTTATAAAGAGGCTCCATGTACAATTGAAGCTGTACTTATGGCTAAATGGTGTAGAAATTATGAATATAGACTAAATACTTGATGTACAATTTTTGTTGCTGTGCACAGAAAATATGGGGTATTTAGGGCAACATTTTTATCCTTTCATCTTTTCTGGCAGGGTTTCTACCTGCTCGTCACTGCGATTAAAATTAAAATTCCATGGCAGGAATGAAGTGTGCATGTGACTTGGGGGGGGCTGAAGGTTCTTGTCTGAGAGCCAGCAGCTGCTCACTTTGATCCAGGCTGCTTTGGGGAGCTTTGTGTAGAGAGCAGGGTGAGGAGGAAGAGGAGGAAGAGTCATTGGAAAGGAAAAAGAGGGTGCGACAACAAGAGTGAGGCTGGAAGGTTTTTTCCCCCATCACTGGATTTGTTTTGGGGACATTTCTTTGAGGACATGCATTGACACAAAAACTAACGGGGAAATGCAGGCTGGCAGTCTGGGGAATCTGATGTGCAGCACAGAAATGGCAAACACAGGCTGGGTGTTTTGGGAAGGGGGTAATTGGAAGCTGATTGAGGATGCTCTCACTGGATGCACCCTGCAGTGCCAGGGGTGTAGCAACAGTACCTTGGGGATGAAGCTGATCTCCCAGCCGTCCAAGGGGAAGGAGAAGGGCTCCCACTGCACCTCTGCTGTTGTCTCTGTGATGGTCTTGAACTTCAGCCCCTGTGGTGTGGCAAGGTCTGCAAGGGAGCAGGGGTGGTGAGCAGAGAGGAGTGGGTGTGCACATGCTGTACCCACCCTGCTCCCTGTGGGTATTTTGTTATCTGGGCAACAAAAACAAGGAAACTTTTGGTGTCTGTTAGCAAAATTCTTTTTCCCCTGCTCCACATGGGTGGGAAGGAAAAGAGGGAAATGCCTGGACCTATGGACACTGAGGCATCATCCCACTGCATTATCATGTGAACAGAGTGAATGATGGGGCTGCAAAGGGGTGTCTGGATAGTTTCTGTTTTTCCCATGCCCTCTGTATCCTTAGTCTCCAAGAAACCCCTCTGGAGGCTGGTATTACAGCTTGATACTCCTGTTTTCCTCTGTGCATCACGGTCCTGGTCAGGACTGTGTTTCTCCTGATGCACAGCAACATCCCCTCTTGCTGCACCATCACCCACATCATGGGGAGTCATCATGAGGATCATCCGTTCAGGTGGGGGAAGAGAACCTGAGACTTCTGTGTTATATTGTAGTATTTTCTCTGAGGAAAAAAAATGTAACACTTTGGGCCACATTCTGGGGGCTTCAATCAATCTCTGGAAGCTTTTTCTTCTTTTTAGACATCCAGGTTTTCATCCAGACTGAGTCTTTCTGAAGAGAACGGACACGTTTCCTCCTTTCCTATATCCCTATACTGACACAATTTTTTTCTTTCTTTTTTTTTTTTTTTTTTCCTTCTTTTTGAAGGCTCAAGTTTCTGCTGCTAGAAAGTTTTTATGTAAAAAGTGAGCCAGCTTGAGCATCCCCTCAGGACACATGGGCAGCAAGCAACAAGTGCAGTAAGATACTTACTGGTCATCACCCTGGAGGTGACGGGGCTGCTGAAGACGTCACTGATGACTGCATAGATGCTGACATTGTAGGCAACGCCTGGCTCCAGGTCCGTGATGGTGATGCTGCTCCAGTCCCCAGGCACCCTCTGCTGGAGCTGGGTGCCCCCTGGCACGGCAGGCTGGTAGGACACCACGTACTCAGTGGCTGCCCCGGGGCTGTCCCAGGCCAGCTCGATGGAGCTGTCGCTGATCCCCGTCACCCGCAGGTTCTCAGGGGGAGACACTGGGGAGGACAGAGGTATGGACAGTGTCAGTTTATGTGTGGCTTATTCTTCCACTCCTGTGGGAGGCTGTGTAGGTCTGCTGGTGAGCCACAGGCCCAGACTGGGGGTTATGTGATACCTGTGGTTGTCTGAACAGCTATAACAAGGTAAAGGCTCAAGAGAACCTGTTGCACTGTTTAGCCCCCATGCTGGGATGTGTGGGGATTTATAAAATTAGAGGGTTTTGAGAAAATTGTAATTGTACTGTTTTACAGACAGTAGAATTGTGATTAGAGTTAAGTAGTAGCTATAAAATTGGTTGGTAGAAAAATTAGGTAAGAAGTAGAAAAGTAAGGATAAATAGAACAATGGTTTGTGTGTTGATGTTTGTTTAGAATAATTTTTTAAGTTGTAGAAAAGTATGTTTAGGAAGATATTAGGAAGTTTTAAGCTTAATAATGGAGTTTTGTGCATTGTGTTTTAAGGCTTACAAGTAGGTATTATATTTGAAATAAGCAAGCATTGTTTTAACCAAAGGTATGTGTGCTTATAGTGGTTGGATGGAACTACTGTCATTGTGCTTTTGCTTTGTGTGGTTGGTCAAAAAACTTTTAAAGTAAGTTGTAGAATGAAGTTCTTGGTCTGCTGCCTGGGATGTGAGCTGATAGCATCTTCTCATTGTCGTAACCATGTAATGAGACTGATGCTGGAAAATAAACCAGCTCGACACATTCCACAGCAGTCTCATCCCATTCATGATTTGTACATAGCCCCAGCTGGCTAGGATGAGCCTTGCTAGCTTTTTTCTCACCTCCCATGGTGTCTTTGGGGACAGGGATAACAGAGAGGTAGCCACACTGTGGGACCTCAGTGTATCAATCCTAAGTGATGCTCTCTGTGGGTATGTAGCTGATGCTGGAAAATAAACCAGCTCAAGGCACATTCCTAGCAGTCTCATACTGTTTGTGATTTTTACATAGCCCCCAGTCGGCAATAGGATGAACCTCACCAGCTTTTTGCTCATCTCCCAGACTTTTGTCCATAGTGTCTTGGGGGACAGGGATAACGGGAAGGCGGGGGGAGCTCAGTGTGTCCTAAGCGATGCTCTCCGCCAGGTAAGGATTTCTCCCAACTTCACGGCGCTCCTATGGGACTCTGGGCACCTCGAAACCCTTGCTTAAGCACCACTTAAGCCTGGCTCAAGCCCCACACCCCCTGCCGTACCTTCGGAGCAGTCGTGGCCGCCGTAGCCCGTCTCGCAGACGCAGATCCCGTCGCGGCAGAGCCCGCGGCCGCCGCAGCCGGCGGGGCAGCGCTGCCGGCCGCAGTCGTGCCCGGCGAAGCCCTCGTGGCACTCGCAGGTGCCGTTCACGCAGCGGCCCCGGCCCGAGCAGTCGCGGGGGCAGCGCAGCTCCGAGCAGTCGTCCCCGGTGAATCCCTCCTCGCACACGCACTCGCCGTCCACGCAGAGCCCGCGGGAGCCGCAGCCGGCGGGGCAGCGCGGCTGGGAGCAGTCCTCGCCGCCGTAGTCGCTGTCGCAGATGCACTGTCCCTCCAGGCACACGCCGCGGCTGGAGCAGCCCCCCGGGCACAGCGGCTCCGAGCAGTTGCTGCCCGCCCAGCCCTCCATGCACACGCAGCTGCACGACTCCAGGCTGAAATTCCCGTGGCCGCTGCACTGCGGGATGTAATCCAGCTGCCCTGCAAGGATGCGGGAGCGAGGGTCAGAACCCGGCGGGTGAGAGGTGGGAAAGGTCGGGGTTGGTCTCGGGTCAGCCCTCTGAAGGGCTGGAGAAGGTGTGGGACAAGGCGGGGATAGTTCTCTCTCTGGTAAACTGGTGGCTTTAGGGCTGAAAAGGGAAGAATTGGTGGGGTTTGGGTGGATCTTTCCCTAGGGAGCACTGCCCCCATAACTGTGGGTGCCACCAGCCTTGTGGTGGTGCAGGTGCTCCCTTTGGTTTCTCTCCAGCTCAGCACTCAACAGGAACTTCCTTACACCTCTTACTGGAAAAAAACCTTCCCTGGAGAAAGCCTCTGCACCAGCCATGACTCCTCTGGTCTCACATCTACACACTTCTCCTTTTTATAGCTGAGAGATCCCCGGCTGCTTTCTCTCTCTCCTCTACAAAGCAGGTATGTACCCAAAGGCATCATCCTCATCCCTATCCTGGAGAACCTGATTGGGACAGGACTGCTGGCTTTGGGCTGTGGAAAAGCAGGGACAGCACCAGGGCTCTGTGGCCAGCACCTCTAATGCCCCCTCTTTACCTGGCACCCACAGGATGCTCTGGGGTGAGGAGGGACGATGGGGATGAAGGCACCAGTCACTGACACTGCTAATGCTCCCCTGTTTTGCCCTCAAACAGAGCCATTGCTCCAGGAAAGGGTTTATCCCACGCAGGCTAACTTTTCCTTGCTGATTTGTATTACTTTTCTTAATATGAACCAAGGAAGAACAGAAACCCTTTCTGTGTTTCCTCCAAACCATGGGAAACCTTTACACCCCAAAGACCCCCAAGCCCCAGCACTCTGTCCCCAGCTAAATTTTCCATCCTAGCTGACCTTTCTGAGCAGCTCTTCCAGTGGGGGATATAGCAGATGCATATGTAAAAGCAGCTCTGTTACATGCTGTGCCAGACAGACACATTTGGGTTACTTTGCAGGACAATTCCCATGCAAACTGCAAATGCTGGGATTGCCAGGCAGGATCTCTTCAGATCTCAGCCTCTAGCTGAGTTATCAAAAGATAAGAGAGGATGCTTCTAAGTGTGCTGGAGAAAAGAGGCTTTCCTCAGGGAAATTGCCTTGGGTGGTGGGGTAGGGATCCTGATTCCTTTGCAGTGCAGTGAATTGAAAGCAACTCTGGTAAAAATAAATGAAATTATTCCAGTTTTAGCTTGGCACATCTGTGATGGGAGTGGGGACTCCACCAAGCAATGAATATTTAATGGGACTGTCTATGCATGTTGCAAGTAACCCAAATAGGCCCATCAGAGTTTCAAATTAATTCCTTTAAAACAGGTTTTTCCCATGGCATTTCCTGCGTGATTTTAACCCTCACTTTGCACAGACTGGTGTTTCCTGTTTAATGCAGCTGATGGATGTGGGCTGAAGCCATGGCTGGGAACACATTGACTTCCACTGGCCAATGATAGACGCCAGCCCAAGCCACCCTGCTGCGTGTCCATCCTTGTTTCTCCCTCCCTGACCAGTTCCACTTTTGGTGGAACTCTTGACCTGAGGATTGATTGCACCCATTTCATTTTAATGTGTCCTACACACAGAAAAATGTGTCCTTCCACTGGAAAAATCACACTAATAGCTGCAAAACTTTAAAATAAAAAAATGCAGTGGGTACCTTGGGGGCAAAAGGGTTGGTTTTAATTTCTCTTCCTTTCTGTTGCTGTTCTTGGTGTGAAAAGCATTTTTCCCCTGGAAAGATGCCCTGTGTGGATCTCCTTGCTTAGTGTTTTCTTCCCTGCAAGGAGCCCTGGTGTGCTGCAGCCACGAGCAGGGCTGGGCTGCATTTGGGATGGATGCCCTTTGGGACAGCCCCTCTTCCTCCAGACGAGGAGAACTATCAGTATTCTGGCGCCTGGACCATGGAAATGCAGCTGCCAGCCCAAACCTTCCTGACCCATCTCATTTCAGCTGAGTGCAGCTTTCCTGACCCTGGGGCACAGCTGAAGTGAAATGAGGGGCTGCCTTCAATGGAGTAACCCTAGTGGGACCTCTTGGAGGTCTCCACAAAAGCAATTATTTTTATTCAGATGGAGTACCATGTTGATGGTTTTGTGCCTTTTTTTTTTAAGGTTTTGTTTGCTTATTTCATTTTTTTTTTATATATATTTTAATACTTTTTTTTTTGGTTAACTCAGCTTTTTCAGACGTGTTCATTCCCCCTGCAGAGAAGATGAAAGGGCTCATTGCCAGCTCCCATGGGGCTGCCTTCAGCCCAGGGACAGCTCAGGACAGCAGCAGCCACATCTCTGCCCCCTGTCCCACAAGCAGTGGCAGATGTCTAAGAGTGTTGGGAGGAGTGCAGAGTTGGGAGATCCCCCTGCTCACCCCTAACCAGCTGTAATTTCATCCCCAAAGGGGTTCAGCTCTCTCTCCTTTATGGAGTTTTCACAGTGAGTGTGGACAGGCACTCAAGTGACCAAAGCCCTCCCAGGCCTTTCCTGCCTTAGAGGACTTCAGCTAAGTTTTTTCACTAAATCCACAGCCCCATAATGGGTAAACACTGGTTTTCCTCTGCCACACTCTGAGTGGCACCATCAGGTTTTGCATTATTCCTCCTGCCTCTCTCTCAAGCCCTCAGCCCCCAGCAAGAGCTAACAGGATGGCGTTACTACCTGTGGCTGCATTTTCTTGGCAGCAATTGGAGGTGCATTGGTCCCGGAGGATGGAGACCTCCCTCTCCAGCATCTCAATCCTGCTCAGCAGCTCCTGCAGGGATGGGAGGGAGGTGGAGCACTTGCAGGCCTGCTTGGGCATGTTTATCCTGTGGGTGAAGGTGACCTGGCTCTCGCTGTCGGAGGTCTGCTCCGTGTACTCTGCCAGCCGGTCGTCTTCTGAACTCACCTCCTCGCCCGAAGACTTGAACATGGAGGAGCAGCAGCTGTCCAGGGGGATGTTGATGTTGTAGATGTGGTGGAAGACCATGGGCTGCTCTTTGGTGGGTGGGCTGCAGTTGGTGAGGCCAGCTGCCTCATCCACCGCTGTCCTCTGGGCCGGCTCTGTCGTCACCTCCAGGCGGCACTCAAACGGCTTGAGGACAGCGCCCAGCAGGAGCAAGTTGAAGCTGATGACCACACTCCTCAGGATCGGGTTTTCACCATCAGTCCCCATTTTCCCGGGAGAGGGAAGAGCCTTCCAAGCTAGTCTTGGTCAGCCAAGAGCGGGGAGGACCTGGGAACACAGAAGCAAAAGAGCATGGTTGGTGTTAGCCTTGAAACTTCAGCACAGAGAGGCAGATCCTTCTTGTTATCTAGACATGTGGGGCCAACTTCACCCACATGCAGTCCTGCTGGCTTTGGTGTGTAGGGACATAGTTTGGGGTAATTGGGAGTGGGGCTGGCCCAGCCTCATCCCCAATTGGTTGCAGCTGTGAGCAGCAGGTGAGCAGCACTGACAGCAGTGAGCCATGGAGTGCCCAGGGGCACTGAGCAACCACCAAAGGGCACAGAGGGCACACAGGTGCAGTGCATCAACAGGAGGGGATAAAAGGTTGAACTAAAGAACCAGAAGGACAGATGCTTGAAGCCTTCTGAGGTGGTATGGTGGTGTTCTGTATGGGTTGAAGCTTTCTGAAATGGTATCATGTTACTCTGTGTATCGTGGCCATCCCAACCGTGATATTGGTGGAACCTGAATTAACTCTGAATGGAGCCCATGGCTGGTGGGAACACCTTGTCATGGCCCTTGAGCAGTGACAAAGACACATTCTTGCTGTTGTTGTTGTTTTTATTTAGGAAACAATTAATCTGGTGCTATCAAAGCACCAAATACTCATCTCTGGGCCACTTAGCACATCTTACTTTGCCACCCTCTGCCAATGCCATAACCTCAAGCAATTGCTACCTCTTGCTTCTAATGCTCCTCTGGAGCTCCTCTCCAGCTCCCTGGGGAGTATCCCTGCTTCCCCCATTACCCTGAATGAATGAAAATATGTTTGCTTGTTTCTCTCCAACAACACCTGGAACTCCTTTGGTAAGCTCTCTTTTTTTTTCCTTGTTTTAGGAAAAGCAAGAAGAATGGAAGTAACTCTGCAATGGGATGGTGCTGACTGTGCTGACAGGCTCTGCAAGTTGCAATTTGGGGCTGCATTCTCAGACCCTGACTCCCTCGAGTCCTCCTCTGCCTTCTGGGCTCCTGGGTGGCCTTGGCTGACCCACAGGGAGATTCCTTGTCTCTGCACAATGGAAGGGACAGGGACTAATGAACACTGACTGCCTCTGATTGACTCATTGGTGCTCAAATCTCAGCACCCCCTCCTTGGCCTCTCCCTTGGCTTTTTGTGTGTGCTCAGAGTGGAAGTAATTGTGGCCATGGGCCAGCTGCTCCGAGCCAGGCCTGTGCTGCAAAGGAAAACTCCTTGCAGGATTACAGGAGCAGCTTAGGCACAGGGAAAGGAAATGCTTCCTCTCCCCCTCTGTGCATCCAGCTTGCCTCAAGAGAGACCTCAGAGCCTGTTTGTGAGCACAGCTGGATGGGGGAGAGGGGCTCTGTGTGGGTGCAGGAGTGAGGGAGTGGGAGATGGATGGTGGGTAAGGGAGGGTGAGCAGACACACACAGCACTAATCACAGTGAGCAGGGTGGTTGGGCAGTTAACAACTCCATAACCCACATACTGAACCCATTCATCTGCTGCTAGGAACTGCCAGCCTTATTGATCTGAATCTCTTTATCAGTACATTCATTACAGCTGCCCAGCTCTCCTTCTGAGTGGCGAGTCATGGCCTCATTCCCTCCTGCCCCTTGGGCAGGGCATGATGCTGTGGGGATGTTGGCATCCCTGGGGAGTGATGCCAGGGAGATTTCTTGTAATCACTGGCTCTTAGTTGTGAAATGGTGAAAAGTCATCATGGTTCAGGCTCAAACCAAGCTGAATCCACAGGACAGGTGGATGCTTCTTGGTGTCCTCCAACCCAGAGCAGGCCAGACATCCCTGTTAATCCTCAACCTCTTCCCAGAGGCTTGGGCTGGCAGCTCTGAAGCCCTGCCAAGTTTGTGAATGCATTCCTGAGCTCTGTCATCTCCATCCCCTCTCTGGTCCCGCTCTGTCTCCTGTTCTTGGTTTCACCAGTTTTTGCTTTTCCCTAAAGGAGCCATCACAGTAAGCTCAGCCAGGGTGGGCTGGGAGGGCTCTGGGGCTGCAGGAGCAGTCTGGAAGCTTGACTCATGTCTGCCTGGGGAGAGAAATATTCAACATTCCTCCTCTGGGTTCCTCATTTTCCTGTGCTCCTGATGCTTCCCAGTCCAGCTCACACTGCACTGACAGAACCATCAAAAAACATTCGTGGGGGGAACAGAGCCAGGACTGTGTGTTTTTCATCCCTCCTTCACAAAGAAAATAAACCAATTTCTGTGCCATTTAATGTATAAAATTTGCATTAGACCAAATTCACCTAGGTTGCTTTTAGTCTTTTTTTTTTTTTTAATGATGGCTTTGTTGTCCCTAAGTTCAGACAAAACTCCCAGCTGGTGGCCTTCTGGATGGCTGTGATCCTTTCATCCCTAGAGGTGGCCATGGAAAAGCTCCCATGCAGGGCAGTGAAGGCAGCTTTGGGCCTGTCCCTTTGCTTGTGTCTGCTGTCAATGTCCTTCTCCTTCACTTTCTGCTCGACTGGCACAATGCCTCTCCATCCCAGAGTGGCCTCTGTGTGACCAGGATAGGAAAGCACAACCCTTTGGGGCTGCTTCTATATTTTACCAGAACTGGTTACCTTTAGTTTGTTTTGCCTTTTTTTTCCCCCCTAAAATCCCCCTGAAACATGAGTGTTTGAATTAAAGTTCAAATTAAAGAGTTATTACAGTTAATTATGAAGTTTGGCAGGCGTTGAGCTTTTGGCTCCAAAGAATTTCAACTTTGGGGAGCTGTGAAAGAATCAATCTGCTGCAATTTCTCTGTGGTGCTCAATAAAAAATACAGACAATAGAAAACTGAGAAAAATATTTGAGGGTTTTGCCAAACATGAACCACAGCAAAGCTCTCTCTTTCCCTCCCCATCAGCCTCTCTCCATCCAGGATTTGTGCCTTATGGGCCAGCAAAGGAAGAAACATAAAAACCCTATTAAATCCACAGCACATCCACCCTAATTATATCTTTTCAGTTATTTTTACATTTTGCTGATGGGCTGTATATGTGTGAGCAGCTTTATGAGGATAAATGCAGAAGGAAACCTGTGTGTGGGGATGCTTGGAGCAGCTGTGCTGAGAAAGTCCTTAATGGTGGGGAATGTCATTGGGGGGTGGGGGAACAGCATCCCCCAAAATGCAGCATCTGCAGCCCTTTTTTTATAACTTAGCAATGTGAATGTAGCAAATGCAAACTGGGCTCTTGCAGGGTGGGTGCAGAGACATCAGATCTGCACAATGAGTGTGATGCCAGCAGTTTTATCTGTGGCATTTTGTGGGGACAGTTTAACATTTGGATGGTCCAACAGTATTTCTATTTTCGTGGCAGTTTTGATGAATTGCTTTGGTTAAAAAAAAAAAAGTCAAATGTTGCCTGGGAGGATGTGTGAGAAAGGAAAATATTTGTTTCTTCAGCCATATATTGTGTATTAAAATGTTTTTGAAGTCACTAAAGATGTGGAAATGAATGTTGGCTTTTTTTTTTTTTTTGAGTGAGAAACCTTTTAATCCACCCAGAGCATACAGAGATGGATATGTATGTATATATTTATTTATTGCATTTATTGCAGTCCCTTTTTCTGAACACCAGGTAAACCCAAGCCCTGCTGTTTGGTGCAGATGACCAACTGGAAAATCAGATTTATTTGGACTTCAGGCCTGTGCTCATCCTCAATGCTGACCAACAAACCATCAAGAAACAGAGTTTGCTGCTTGTTTCCTTGGCATGGCAGAGGCAAGCAGGTGTTTGCTGACAGCCAGCGGTCCCTGAACTGTGTGATCAGAGCTGGGATGTGTTCCCTGCTGCAGCACAACTGGCAGGAGCCAGAGCTCTGTGATGGGTTTGCTCCCACTGCTGTTAATGGTGGGAGAGACCCCAGGGTATGGGGATGTGGGAATCCTCCGAGTGTGTTATTTGGACTTTTTGTCACTGTGATATTTTACGAAAATCATTTTTCTAGGATTTTTCTCCTGAGAAGCCTCAGAAAAGAAATGAAAACAATAACTATCTGATGGGTGTGGGATGTGGTCTGGAGATGGTTTACCAAGAGATGCATCTTTGATTGATCTCATGTGGATTGTTTTTACTTGATGACCAATCACCACCAGCTGTGTCAGACTCTCTGGTCAGTCATGAGTTTTTTATTATCATTCTTTTCTAGCCTTCTGATGTCTCCTTTTGCTTTCTTTAGTATAGTTTTATTATATAATTTTCTTTTAATATAATAGATACCATAAAATAATAAATCAGCCTTCTGAATCATGGAGTCAGATCCTCGTCTCTTTCCTCATCCTGGGGCCCCTCAAACACCACCACAGACTTTTGCGTTGAAAAGTGTCCTGCAGGTTTTCCATAAGCCCAAAACTGCTGATGGATGGTTTTCCATAAGCCAAAACCTGCTGATGGATGGTTTTCCATAAGCCAAAATGTGCTGGTGGATGGTTTTCAGGGCTGCCAAAGCCAAGTGCTTGGTGCAGATGGTGCCTGTTCCATGCTCTGGCACGGTGCAGCCCATGCATCTTTCCTCTGGGGTTCACTGGGAAGGGAATTCAGCTCCATGGTGTCTCTGGTTGGCTTCCCAGCCTTAGACTTATCATTCCAAGGCAGTCACACAGCTGGAAAACTGACATGGATTGCATTGCAAACTCAGAATCCCAGCTCTGGAGTTTTTTGGGATCTCCAAAGTGAGGCTGCAGGACTCTGGTTTAGGGCCACTCATCATTCCCATCCATCAGCATCATTATTGCCTTGGCATTGAAATCTCTCCTGGGTGCCGTGGCAGGTGAGTGTCACCCTGTTTTTTTAACTTCTTCTAAACCTTCTGATCTTTACATTCTTGTAACGAATTTTCTAAAAAAACTTTATGTAAATAACTTCCTGTTTTACATTATTTTATGGAGGAGGAGAAATTTTATAGACTTTGTCCGGTGTCATTGGAGAGGTGGCACTGTCACCCTCCAATCCACTGTCACTTTTGGAAATCTATAAATGTTGGAGTCAGAATTAAACTTTCCCTCTTTTTCACCTTGAAGAGACCAGTGTCAGTGTAGTTTTATTTTGTATCCTAAAGCAACAGGTGAGGGTGTGTGCATGGCAAGGCACTGGCACCCAGGGAAGGGGTGAATCACCATTCCTGGAGGGATTTTAAAAATCTTGTATATAGGGCACCTGGAGACATAGTTTAGTGGTGGGCTTGGCAGTGCCAAATGCATCGTTGGACCCTGATCTTAGAGGTCTTTTCCAACCCAAATGATTCTAGGATTCTCAGACCCTGTGGTGTGTGCCTTGCTTTTGCATTGCTTTGTGATTCAGCAAGAAAATCTTGTGATTTTCCTGTCTCACTGGATTATTTCCACTATTTCTCCACTGATGGAGAAATAGTGGAAATATTTCCCCTCAGCAGCTGAAACTGCTGCAAATTTAGTGTCATTAGACTGGTCTGTCAGTAGGAGCCTCCTGAGCAGGTGTAGAGATGCAGCATGTCCTGCAGACCAATTCCCTGCTGCAGCCTTGTGAGGGGAAGCAGCCCTGGTGCCCAGTTATGACTGATCTACTGATGGGTAATTTGTCTATTTAAAAAGGTTTTCATTGTGTTAATTCCAGAAAAAGTGAAGGTCCTTGCTGTGTGAAAGCAAATGAAGCCTTCTCCCTTATCAACTCCTTCTGCACCCCCTGCTTAACTGCAACCCTTATCACCCCTCTAAACAATGCCTGCTGCAGGATTTTGGGGAAATTAAAGGAGGTGGAAAGCTTAGAGAAGCAAACCATCCACTGTAGCAGTGGTTGCCTGATTGCCAGATCCTGTGGATTTATGGGGCCAAAGCTGAGGACCAGCAAGGAAACCTGAACCACACCAGAAAACCACAACTGTTTCCATTTCCATCCCATGCTGTCACCATCAGCCCTCAGAGGGGAAATGACCAGTGGCATATTTAAGGATGAAATACTTTGAGCAGTTTTCCCTAGCTATATGCAGATGAAGAAATCTATGGATCTCCCAAATGACTGCAAATTCTGCCAGTTAAAAATTCACACACCTCTGTCATTGCCACCTACATTATGTTTTGCTTTCATTACATATTCTTCTATTCAATTGCCATGGAATATATCAATAGCCTCTGTAAACTCCCACAGGAAAGCAAACATCAGCTTAGTGCAGAGATTTTGGGAGGAATCTCCTTTTATTTTCACATTTAGTCTGCATCCAGCACACCTGGCTTCACATCACCTCAACAGCTGCCTCCTGTGAAGCCTGGGAATCACCAGGTTAAGTTTGATTTTAGTGAGGGTGCCAGCTTTAATCTGAGCCTATCCCAGCATTTTAAAGAGCAAATTTTGGTGCTGTCTTTATTTATGTATATAAATATAAAATATTTATATTTACAGGTACGTTATCAATTCCCCAGTCAAACCGTGTTTAAACACATGCCACAAAGAAATTCTTGCTCAGTGCAAAATTACCTTTTGTGACTGGCTTGCCAAGGTGGGCACCTAATTTTATACAGAAGACCAAGGTGTGTGCCCAATTTCACAGTGAGATCTGTTAGCATTGAGCTTGCTCTGGCCACTGCCTGTCTCTCTTCACCAGCCCCAGTGCCCTGTGGGCGATGCTGGGATGCAGCACAGGCTGGGAACAATGCTGTGGCACAGGATGGCTCATGGGTAAAGGCTTCCCTCTCTTCTCCAACACAAATATGAAGACCTAGAAGCACCCACAGTGCCCAGTGTCCTGCAGGAAGGTGACCCATTCCCCTCTGGATCCAGGTGAACCAGCCTGGTCTAGTGGTGCCTGAAATCCCAGCTCCTGATGGGAGTTGCAGCCTGCCAACACTGAGCTCTTCCATGTTGGGAAGGATGAAAGTTTGACAAGAAAGTCTCACAGATATGCATGCTTGGCAGAAGGATTTTTGAATGTAGAGTCTGAATAAGGAATAGAAATGAAAGCAAGTTTTGATATAGAAGAAAAGAATTGCTGAGCCAGTCTTACTGGCCAACCAAGGAGGCAAAGGGTGTGTTAGTTAGGGTTTTTATGACTTAGAGCAAAGGATAAACCCACCCCAAACAAGATGTTTTTACCAAGCAGAAAGATAGCACAGGCAAAGAAGTCAGCAAAGTTGCAAGTAGAAAAAAGGTCTCAGAATTTTCCACTGCAAGAAAACTGAAAACCAGCTTCTAGCTTAAAGTGTAATGTACTAACTTTTAGTGACTGGAGAACAGTAACATGAATATGGTAATTATAATAGTTATGATAGGCTATAGATAAAAGTTAAGGTATAGATTAGTTCTTCTGTATTAAGATGCTCAGCAAAGAAAAATATATAATGCATTGTAACCAAAAGAAAAGTCTATAATGCATTGTAACCTAAACCAAGGGTGTCCAGGCCTGCCTGCAGCTTGGGCTGACAGCTGTAGGCACAGGCTCTGTCACCCACCACCCTGGACTGCTGTAACACTTGGATAGAATAAACTGCATTTTGGAGAGCCCCTGGAGTCCCACATCCCTCATTCAAGCTCTTACACTTCCACACCAACTTGTGAGGCTGGGCATGTGCTTTGAGTTGTGACAGGTGAGTGTTTGGGTACCCTGGCACTAAGCCTGGCCCCTTGAGCACTAGGATTTGATGTCTGTTGGGGATGGCCTCAGCTGCCCTGCTGCCAGGACAGCCCTGTCCTTTGGGATTCCTGCCTGGGCAAAGTCCTCACACCCTGCACTTCACACCATGCATTTATTCACAGGGAGCTGTGAAATGAACCTCCCTGAAATGAACCTCCCAGGCCTGTATGTTGCAGAAGGGTTTATTTCATCCTTCCATGGTGTCTCTGGGAGTTTAAGGAGTTTCGCCAGGGAGAGCTGGGGACAGGGCTGGGATAGCTCCTGCTGCTGTTCTCACCAGCACCTCCATTTGCACATAGAGGTGCTTCTGGGTCATCACTCCTGCCCTGTGCCTGGGGAGAGTTTAACTTTGTGAAGCATGATTTTGGGATGGGGACAGACCTTTCAAGATGCTAGCCTTCAGTGCTAAAGCTCTGCACTGTGTTCCCAAGCCCTGTGATGGCCATTGTCCCTGCCCCAGCAGCTCCTGCAGTTCCACTGGAGATGCTGAGAAGCTGTAAATGAGAAATTAGCTGCAATTATGGAACATCACAGGGCATAAATACCCTCTAAATCCTCTTTAATTACATGGTAGCACTTAATTACATGGCAACAAGAATGTAAGCACAAAAATAAATATAATTTCAGTTTTATCTTTAGCAGAGGCACTGGTAATTAATTTTGGTGGTGTGGACTCCACTAACACAGTACTGCAAAGGTGCTGCTGCCCAGGACAGACAAACCTCACTTCTTCTCCTTCTCCCATTCCCCACTCAGTGTCATCCCTCTGTCTGTCTGTCTGCATGTTGAATCAGAGGCAGAGACTTGCAGATGTCAGGATAAGGCAGGACCTGTCAGTGAAGTGTTCACTCATCCTCCTTGTCTCAGGTTGAAAGGTAAAGCAGGGTGTGTGTTCTATCCCCATCTGTCAGAGGTGGGGCAGTTATCTTCTGTTCATTGGGCAGGTTTCTTTATCTCTGCCACAGCCAATCCTCCCTCCAGGAGATCTCTTCTGTTCATGGGCCATTAATTATTAATGATCTTCTGTCCATGGGCCACTGAGTGTCCCTGCATGGCTGATCCAATCCCATCCTCCCAAGGGGAGATGTTCCGCCCACAGGAGGAGCCAAGCATTCCTGCCTGGATCCAATCTGACCTTTGGGACACCCCAGCACCCTTTGCCCCCTGCATTCCCAGAGGAGCAGCTTTCTGCTGCCCTGCATTGCCAGAGGGAGCCCAGGCCCATCTCCAGCAGCCCTGGAGCTGCAGAGGAAAACTCCCCCCGTGTGCAGGATCCCTGCTGCAGCAGAGCCACAGCTGGCACTGCAGGAGGGCTGAGCCACCATGGGATGGGGCTGGGACACCTCCCTGACACACAGGGGGCCAGGGCATGGTCTGACTCTGGCAGTGTTGGTTTGTACTATTCATTTGTATTTTAATTGTCCTAGTACAGAACTCTCATTCCTATTCCCACATCTTTGCCTAAGAGCCCTTTAACTTCAAAATTATAATAATTTGAAGGGAGGGGGTTTACATTTTCCATTTCAAGGGATGCTCCTGCCTTCCTTAGCAGATACCTGGCTTTTCCAACCAAGGCACTCCTGCATGGAGAGAACAGGCAGGAGAGCCTCCATGGTGACACTGTTGAGTCAGGGATGGAAAGAGGACTCCAGTGTTCAGGTGGATCAGGAGGCAAAAGGGTTTAATGAAAGTAGCTGGGTCTTTTTACAATGTGACCCACTAAGGTGATACTTGATTGGTCTCAAAGTAGAAACATCTCATATTATTGGTGACTAGGAACAGCACACTCTGGAGAACTGTATCTATAAACAATGCTTACAGAAAGCGAGATAGTAATGGTTTGAATTCTTTTGTCTAAGTTTCCCACAGATTCTACACAGCTTCCCATGATTTTCCTGGGAGAACCATGTCTCTCTCTGCTCAGAAGATATGTAATTACCACACCATGGCTCATTCATCCCACCTCAGTTATGCTGTGAGCTCCCATCCCATGACCAGCCATGGGGATTTGGATCACTCTCAGCCTTTTGGGCTTTTTCCCCCCTTTGCTCCCAGCATTCTGCTCAGCAGTGAGTGCTCATCTGGCTGCTACTTGGCTGTCACCTTGCATTAGAGTCTGCAAATCACCCCAGAGCTCCTCGGGGCTGAGCTGAAGACCTGGCTTGGGATGATTCTTTGCCAAAATGCTGCCACCCATTACCCCCAGCACAGACTGAGCACATGCCTTGATGAAGATAAAGGGGAGTGCAATGAAGCACAAAGTCACCTTGAAGAGCTTGGATGCACCTTAACCTCTGTCACCCCATACAAAAACCCACTTAATTTAAATGGAGAACAGTGCTGTTCAGCACTGGACCAGCAGAGGAAAATCCCTGCTAGTTCCCTGGTTTTTTAAACCATAATTAGTGCATTGCAGCATATTCCCCTGGGAGCTCTGAGCAGGAGCACACAGGAACTCAGTTTGCTTTCAGTAAAAGCAAACCCACCTGCTGAAGTCAAATGAGCACAGGTTTTTTACTTGCTCTTTGGTTTGCCACATTAGTTATACCCTCACCCAAAGTCAGGGGGATGGAAAAGGAATGCTCATCTGGTGCATTTTTGATTAATTTCCCCTTCACATGTAATTTTACACCACAGAGATGAAGCAGAGCTGATGTGATCACAGTTGAGTATGCTGTGACTTTCCCCCAACCTGCTTTATAAGCCCCATACTGGAAAAAATTCAGATTTTCCTTTCTTTTTAATATATTACTCACACTAAACAGCACGTTACAGTCGATTTACATGCACATGCAACCTGGCAGGCAGCAGCAGGGATTGTGCTGTTTGAACCTTCCAATAATTGACATTTTCTACTTGCCTTCCCATTGTAATTTCCCTGGAATGTAGAGAGCAGCAGCAGATACTTGTGGAACAGATTTGAGGTTGGAGCAAAGCTGCCACGGTGGAGCTGGCTGAAGCTGGGTGATTTTCCTTGGGCAAGGCTTGTTCCAGGCCCTTTGAGGACCTACAGCATCTCCTCAGGAGGGGAACAACCTTTGGTCAGTGACCACAAGGAGCCTGCAAAGATTTTCTATCGCATCCCATTGAAAGGACAGAGACAACATGAGCAAGCTGGAGCAGAGACATGAATCATCTTCCTGCTGCAGAGGCTTCATTTGATAAATAATGTATATGGAGTTTACAGTGGTAACTGCTTTCTTCCCACCCAGGCAGCTGGGCTGGGTTTGGCTCTATTCCTCCTCCCAGGCAGCGTGACAGACTCTGTTTTGTTAGACAGGTTAATCTGGGGCTTTTCTCACCACTGGCCAGCCACATGTGGGTATGGAGAGGAGCTGGCATCCCCAGATGGGGCAGGAGGAAAGAAATTTGCTGGGGGTGCACAGTGGGGAGATCTCCTGAGATTAATGGATGAATGGCTGAGAGGAGATGTTTGGCCCTGTGTCAGAACCCAGGACATCCCTCCGGCTGCCCAGGATGGCTTGAGCCCCTACCAGGGGGCTCAGAGACCTTGGCACAGGGCCCAAGATCCCTGTGCCTTTGATTTAGCCCTTGGAAAAAACAATTACCAACCTTATATGAGGAATTACAAGTCAAGAAAGTTTAAGTAGAATAACAGTTAGTTTGTCACAGGGTGAAAAGTAGAATTTTGACGTTTTTAGAATGGGCGCTCGGGGTCCCAAATGGAGGAATCTGGGCGTGTCTTGCCCTTTCTCCTTCTTGCCCTCCATCTTCTGGATGATGTTGGCATTTTTAGATTTGTTTAGAGTAGAATCTCACTGTATAACATAGGTGATACATATTGGAAAATTATTGTAAATAGTGTATATGGAGTTTTTAGTGTAAAAGATAACACTGCCCCAAGGATGGGCAGTGTGCCTCAACCCAACCTGCCAGACAGACCTCAGTCAGTTGGAGAAAGAATTTTCTAAATAAGAAACAATAAACAACCTTGAGAACCAGAACAGGAGAATCCTGACTCCTTCTTTGACTGCCAGGCTGGGAAAAGAGACTCTCTGACACATCTTGGGGTCAGCTTGACCACAGAGACCCCCAAGAGCCCTGGGCCTGCACAAGGGCACCAGCACCAGGATGCTGCACCCTGCACCCTGCTCCAGCCCCGTGCTGCAGAGCTGGCTTCCCCTCCCAGCACCAAGGCCCTCATCCCACCACTGAAATAATTGTTTTGTCTTCAGACATGCTTTCCAACGAGTACCTGACCACCTCTCACCTCAGGAAAGATGGGGCCTTGGAAGTGACAGCTAAACCACCAATGGTTATCCCTGAGGAGCGCTGGAGCAAGGGTTATCCTTTGAGATCCCACACTGCTGGTACAACAGCATCAAGTGAGGTGTTCCCATCACCTTCCCTGCCCAGTTTTCCTCCCCTTAGAGCATTTCCCCATCACAACGGGCCAATCCAAACTACAGTCCTTGTCCTCCCTCATGTGACATCTCAAGGCATGGAGATGGGAAAATGGGGGCTGAAAGTTGGACTCTTTAGGGAGCAAAAAAAGGGAGGAATTTCCTCTTGCCTCTCTTGTTTTTGGGCTTCTGGTGAATAGCAAGAGGGGATGGAGGAGGAGAGAGGAGGACTGTGAGCACTCCTGAGCCTCAGATGTCCTGGTGACTCCAGGATTTCCTGACCTGCAAGAGCCTGTCTGGCCTGAGGGAGCAAGAGGTGCTCACTGGTGTAGCACAGAGCTGGTCTGGGCTTTTAGGAGGTACAATTAGTCATGCTGTGGGGGTGCAGCTCAAATCCCATATTTCCTTAGATTTTGTCCTCTTGCCAACTGGGATAGCCTCCATGGACATGTCTGGATCTGAGGAGCTGGCTGGGCACCTGCATGGAGCCACTAGAAGAATATAAAAAGGCTTTCATCAAGGAACACCACAGAAAATGCTCTTTAGTCATTTTTATAGCAGGCCTTGAAGGCTTCTACTGGAGTGGTTTGGTTAAAAATAGATTTGTTTCTGTTGGAATTTGGTGGGAAAACCTGGACTACCATATTAATGAAGGTAAGTGAGAAAACCCATCTCTCTTCCCATTTTACATCCCTGTGGAAGAACTGGAAATAGCTTCAGCACTTTTACTGGAGAGATAAAAAAGATCCTTGTGAGGGGGAAATAGCTGTAGTCAGTGTGGGCTTGTACCAGCTGAAGACTGGAGTTAGGTTAGGGTTTTATTGCCCTATAATAGGCAAGTGGCTCATCAAGGAGTGGAAATAAATGCAAAACATAATTTCATGGAGCCAGTGCACAGCATGGGAGCTTGGAAGCCAACCCACTGCTTTGCCATGTATTTTATGTGAGAGCTTGGTTCTGCTCTCTCTATTTCTCCAACTGGCATTGTATTAGTTCACAAGCAAACACCTAAAATCAATTTTAAGGCCGTTTTAATGCTGAAGAGCTCTGTGGAGATCTAGGACTCAGGATGAAGGAGAGCTCTCACATCCT